CCCCCCCCCCCCCCCCTTCAGTTTCTGAAAAATATATCACACTAATATTCCTCTCTTGAAATTAGAATTTTGACTACCTAAATCATAGTTCTAAACCGTACCAAAAAATTTTCGGGGCCCTTGAGCAGGGCCCAAACCCCACATCAAGGGGGCGATGGTCGGCTTCGCATCCGAGGCCTATCGTTCCGGACCCCCCCCCCCCCCCCCCCCCCCCCGCCCCCCCTTCAAATAATCTTGGATCCGCCCCTGAACAATGAGTTTCGAAAACAACCATAAGTGCATTAGTGATAAATCTGCCTGATGTCTGTGACGAAGCATTTAGAACACACAAGATGTAACATATAAACTGCATAGTAAAATAAATAAATAATTATTAAATATATCGTTTGCATGTTATTGACAACGGAATATTAAACACGTTAGAACGATACATTTTTATTGTCATTTAATAATGGTGTAATACAATAAATGAAGACCAATGAGGTCACAAGATTTAGCATGGTTCACTTTAGCTTATCACGGTTGTATGGACATGTCCTATATGTCTTCTGTTTTTTATCCAGCAACAATATAATATGTAAGGTAAAGCCAATTTACGAACCTAAAGGATAATAAAAGTGCAACGCAAATGATGTGCATGTTAAGATGAGTAGGTACATGTACATGTAACTAAGATAACAACAAAGTAAAGAATCAGTGCTTACTGATTTCAGATGTCAGGTACCGGGGCTTGATAATGACACATGGGTTATTCAGGGACCTGGCCACGAGGCACTTATCAATGCTAGCATACCTCGGGACAGGCGAGGGAAGTATGCCGAGTGCACAGTGCGGACCAGCAACGGGACCGAAGTGAAATGCTCCAATTGGGTCTATGATACATCTACATTCACAACTACATATCCCTCCCAGGTACTAAGAGAGAGGGGGGAGGGAAAGAGAGAGGAGGTTTTTGGGGCTGGATTTCAGCGTCATCTCCAAAAGTCAAACGTTGCTTCTGGTTATTTGTTTATATAAAGAAAGCGGTGTCAGCATATGATAATAATAGTAATAATAACAATAATAACGTACAGTGATTTCATGGCGTATTTTTCTTTTCAGTTTAATTTGGTCTGCGATAAAGCCGAATTGCTATCTGTGACTTCGATGGTTTTCTTTGGTTCCGCCTTGGCGGGGGGACTGTTTCTCGGGATATTGTCCGACACGTAAGATTTCTTTCCGAATTTTCATCCACAAATATAATCACATACCAACTGTATTTGAGAGATGCTGTTTTCAGAATATATCGCACTCCTTCAAAATTTTATTTAAAACAAGTTTACTTTCTAGGGTTGGTCGCAAGACCACGCTGGTGATTGCATTACTGGGACAGGGAATCACCGGGGTTGTAGCCATATTTGCTCCCACCATTGAAGTATACATGATCATACGATTCCTGCTTGGAGCGTTTTCTTCGGGAATTTTCAATCCTTGTTTTACTTTAGGTAAAGGTTTTATTTAATCATTATATAACATTAGGTAAAAATCATTTAATCCTTGTGTTACAGTAGGTAAAGATGTTGTTTTATTAAATAATCCACATCAATATTGCTAAAGCCATCTGTTCGTTCCATTGCCAATGACGACAATCACATCTTAAAACGTGCTACTACTGTTAAGAAAATTTTTATTATGTTTTTTATCCATGAGCTTTTATGCCAACTTTTTGTATAACTCTTTGACGATTTATGGTATTTATACAAACAACATTTGGACAACAACTGTAATTGCCAAGTATGGTTTTACAAAAATCATTCCTGTTCAGCTTTGGAATTTTATGGTCCGAAACAGCGCATGGTGGCCGGTTCGGTGATAAATTTCTTCTGCGCCACTGGTGGGCCACTAACGACGCTCCTGGCTTACTTTCTACGAGATTGGAGACACTTCCAGCTGGCAGTAACGCTGCCTACGTTTTTAGTACTCGTAACAATGTGGTAAGATTAATTTTATGAATGTGAGAAAAAATTTGTGAAATAGAGCAATATATGTTACATCTTGTCATAACTATGGTCATAACTATGTCATCATCTTGTATAAAACCAAGCCCCTTCCTTTTATGTTTGTACGAATTCGTATATATTGAAGATCAATAAGACTGATAGGGATAGGTTTGCATTTATTCTAGTATTATCCCACGAACAGATAAGTATCTTATTAGATTGCTCTTTTCAGCATATCTTTCAGACTGTTTGGTTTGCCAAAGCGTACTGATTGTCACTATGTCGTACCATGATGAAAATGTTCCAAATAGATTAATAATGTAATACTTAGTAACTGAATGATAAAACCCCTCCTTACGAGACTAGCCAGGCAGAATAATAGTTTCTGTAATTATTTTCATGGGCAGCTTTGAAGCTTATTGTTGCAAAGTCGCTCTGATTTTAAAGGTACGTTCCTGAATCTCCGAGATGGCTTCTGAGCAGAGGAAAGAGGCGCAGAGCTGAGAAAATTCTGAGAACTGCTGCGAGAGTGAATGGACGGGTTTTGGCGCCAAATGTGTTAAATAATGTTGTCATCGAAGAAGAGTCACCTAGCGTTAGTTTCCGGGAACTTTTCCGCGCGCCAAAAGTAATCTTAAGAATGCTGATGTTGTCCTATGCTTGGTAAATAATTTAACTGTTCTGTAGCCTATTTCGGCTTTTGTTGCTTTCCATATAAAAAATTCTTAAGTCGCATTTTTTAAAGTGGCCCACTCATCATTTATAACGAGTAATTCGTATTTACCATACCAATGTATTGATTTAACAGACAACTTTAATTAGTACTGTATTGACTATTTCAATCTCTTTATGCACACAACCTATCGTAGTGAGTAGATAGGCCTAGTCGCTTACTGGTTAATATAGTCCAATGAACGTTATTTTACTATATTCCAGGTTAATAGTAGACACTACATATTATGGAATAGGACTTCATACGGGAAATCTTGGAGGCGATATATTTGTGAACTACCTTTGTCTGGGTTTAATTGAATACCCAGCCTTCGTTATCTGCTTTACCATAGACAGATTCGGGCGCAAAAAGCCTTATATTCTCTGCATGCTTCTTGGTGGACTCGCGTGTGTCTGCTCTATCTTTGTGGAATTGTACGCAAATGAAGGTAAGTAAAACCAAGTTATTTTCGTAATGTGGCATTGTTTGTTTCAGTTCTGAATTATTCCGTTATATTCAGCGTGAAAAAATGCGATACACGTATAGGCAATAAATTGGCAAAAGTAGACATTGAAAAATATCTTATTATCTTTTCCAGAATTAAAATGGTTACATGTAGTACTCGCTGTGGCTGGGAAGTTTGGAGCAGCTGCAGTGTATGGTATTCATTTCATATGGGCTGCCGAAATCTATCCCACTGTGATCAGGAACTTTGCGATGGGGGTTGGAGCCACAGTTGCTAATATAGGGACAATGGTTTCCCCATTCATTGTGGTAAGATATTTGATATAAGTTACTTGTGAGTGTGTGTGCGTGTTAACATGCATGAGTAGAGGTATTTGCGTGCACTCAACAGGTGCGAAAAATCGGTGGCATGTATGAGTACGGGTACTTGTGTGTTCTCAAGAAAATGATGCGTTGAATGAAAGAATTAACAATATTTACTTGATGATTTATTTAGAAAATATTTGCTCGATTTTTCTTACAGAGGAATATAAAAGTCGACTCTATTGGTCCAAGCACAATTCCAATGATAATATTTGGGGCGGCCAGTATTTCAGCTGCTATCTTAGTTGGGTTTCTCCCAGAAACAACGAACATCAATCTACCTGAAACTCTCGAGGACGCCCAAAACTTGGGAAGGTAATATAGTTTTGTCAATAGGAAAGACATTGCTTATCTTGTGGTTCTCAGTGATGTTTTCTCTGTTGTTAAATAAAAGTCAAATTTGAGCTCTCTTTTGTTTTACAGGTGTATCTTTTTCTGTTGCCAGTGATTTTCGAATAAGAAAAATAACTATATTTCTGACCGTTATTTATTACAGAAAGCAATCTACACATAAGAAAAAGATACGACATGACGAAGATAAGGATCTGATAGCGCAAAAAGAAACTCAACTCTAATGTGCGTTAACGCCTTGAAAGAAAGAATATAATTCCAAAGACGCCATTCAGACAATTAATGACAATTCACTGTGGACATAGAATGTTTTTGAAATACCTTCTTAGGACCTTATCGTTTCATTTATGTAATTAAATGTTTAGAGTTCGAAATGATGTCGATGACATGTTGTTGACGAGAACGTGCCTTACTTGCGCAACTGTTATATAGCGACTGCACATTGCAATCTAGACTTGTGTTAAATAGTTTGAAGGAAAAACTGTTTCTAAGTATTGTCTGTATCATATTATATACTTGTTTGTCATAACTTATTATTCAATAAAAAGTGAAAATGAATGAAAACATATAACTTGGAAAGTTCAGTTTCATAACTGAAACTTTTTTCAAAATGGTTTAGTTACTTCGCTGCTTCTTTTCTTTCTTTTGCATTATTATATCTCGTAAAAAGCAATTTTGGGTGCGATGCAGGCATTAAAGGTTGTAACCAGCCTTCAGGACAAAGGAGAAAAATGACACAAAGAAAATCCCTCAACGGATTTTATTGTTAAGTCCATCAAGGAAGGCAAAGTCATAACACAAATTTTTACGGCTTTTATATGTCCCTTTGAAGAAAACAGAAAAATGAAATAGTCTAAAATAAACATTATGAGACTTAAGACATCATACGCAAGTTGCAAATTTTCTAAAAACAAACAAGACCAATTGGAGAATGTGAGATGGTGCTGCGACCGACTGTAATAAGGTTTAAATTTTATGTTTTTTGTGTAAGATCAGATAAATCTAGTAATTAATTTTTTTCAGTGATTTAAGTTTCAAGGCTGAGATAAGTTAAGTTTCAGCTGGACAAACAATTCTTCCGCTCGCTTACTTTTAATAATCTATTAAAGTTAAATAGACCAAAATTATTTATTGAGATTCAGTGATAACGCTTACTGGACCCCACTCACCAGCGCAACAGGTCTGGTGCAGTCATTGCGTTTGTTGCGACAGCAGTGGCCTGTATGTAGGTTACGGTCCTCGGTCAAGTTTCGGTCAGAATGTGAAGCACTGAAAAAATAGGTTTTAGCCGGGCGTCAACTGCAGCGACACCTTCGTCCAAAAACTAGGTAAGAACATTTTGAAATATGCTGGTTAATATTAATGATAGTTTCTCCATTTACACCTGTTTATATCGTTACCAAGCATCCTTTGGGCGAGTGTTGTCTCTTGCACGCCTTGTTATAGTTATAGCATAAGTTATGCATGGCTGGATATTACAATACTGACTATATATGCAAAACGATAACGTTTACCATGCTGTGTAAACAACAAGCATGCATTACCACACTACTGATATTATCCTCACTTTATTAATTTGAAGGCATTTCTACTGTAATGCATCAGTATTTACAAAATTACAAGCGTGGTGTGATATACATTAACAGTACCTGAACAGTATATTTTTGTTACACTTTTCAGTGGTCAGTTCTACAGTATAATGATTGTTGTGAAGGGAATGCAAAAGTGCCTGACTTAATATTTAGGTGCAGTGTTGCGTTGATTACAAACTTGAACTTATAGTCTCTACTGATAACTCTGTTAGTGTTTCCATAGGACACCTGTGTGGGAATATGCATAAAATTTGCATGCATATAACAGCAACAGTATACTCCTAAACCATTTCTACTGGTTACTTAAACAACTAATATCTAAAATAAAGTCAACTTGCCAAGTCATAAAAGTCAAATTAATTCCTTGTTCTGCAAAAAAAGAAAAAAAAATGCTTCATAGAAGTACAAAAATGTTGAATTTCTTCACAGATTGGGAATACAACGTTGGTGTTTAGTCACACTTAATTATACAACTGTATGCTTTCAGAAAAACAATGGGCAACAAATCGCACAAAGGAACTGTGATTTCAGCTGGACCAGGAGGCAGTCAGCAGGCACAGGGAACAGCAGTGCAACAGCGACCATATCTTGGATCACAATGTCAGTACTACTTCCTGGAGATGTCAGTGCCCTTTCGGCAGAATGTATTACAATTTACACATGGTCATAATATGATCAGTACCAACATAGACAGCTACTACCCTGCTCTAGCACAACCATATCAGCAGGGCTGGAGAATGACAACATTCTACAGGATACCAGGAGTGGCTCAGCAGCAAGGACTTTTTAGTACAGCAGTAAATGTACCTTTCCAAGGAATATTTGTCAGGCTAGCCAGTGATCCAGTGTTTTGTAGTGAACAGTATCAGCTGAAAGTGGAGAAGTCTATCATGCTTATGACAGGTTTTAGAGAAGGTAAATTAGCTTTATACACATTTTTGCAAGGGATGTCACTCATGAAAGACATGATTACCATGAAATGTTGACATGTCTGACATTTAATTTTTGTGTTGTTCAAAGGGTAACCACTGGGTAGCCATAGAAAACAAACACATTCTTTGAGATATAGACATACTCTGGAAGTATTGATCACATTCCATAATAATTTAAGTTTAAGTGGAACTAAGTTACTTTAATCTTGGCTGTTGTTTTGACACTAACTGAATATACTGGGTATATATACAACAAATTTGAAATTCTTCACTGAGTATTTTTATGTACATACCGAGTATAGCCATGCGTCACTTGTGTCTGTCGTCTGCATTGTTGCAAAGCACTTTTCACTGTAAGCTTGGAAAACTGCCTTATTATCCCCACACTTACTGGAGTAATTTATGCTAAAAGAATACAGGCAGCTTTATTGGATCATTTTTCATGGAATTAAGCATTTTTTGTGAAGTAGTCTTTTTCTCATATTTGCATTTTCAGTGATAATTAAATGTATGAGTATGAAATACTGTGTGACATTTTCTGAATGTCCATGAAATATCTCGTACATAATTGAAAATTGATGGTGTTTATGCTGTTAATCATTTTGTAATAATTGCATCAAACTTGCTGAAAATCTCAATTTGTACATAGCCATCATTAACACTATTAAAAGCAATCCATGTTATTTTTTATTCTCTAACTTCCAAGAATGATTCTGCAGATTAAATTATAGCTCCTATTGGAAAATCAAATTTAAAATCAATAAATATTAATAAGATATATTTTTATCATTTATTTTTGACAAAATTGTTTTATAGGTATCCTATCATTGACGGGGCCACAGGGTGTCCAGGGTGATATGTCAGATATCCAGATGAAGATAGCTCAGAACACTCAGCATGGTGGCAGGCTAGTATGTGTTGAGATGTCAGGACAGTATGTGACACAGGGAATGGGAGCAACTATGATGGGAGTGCCTCCAGGTACGTGACAGTTTATGTCACAGGGAATGGGAACTGTCTGGGGGGAGGGGGATGGGAGTGTCTCCAGGTAAGAGAGTGTATGTGTCAAAGAGAAAGGGGACTGCCTTAAAGGGAGTATCTCCAAGTATGACATAAGAAGTTGTTGAAGATATGATTAATTTCTTAAGTATTAAACTTTCAACACTTACTTCTTCAGCAGCAGGAGTATACCAAGGTATTCTTAAACATGCAGTTTGAATTTTCCAGGTATAGGGGTTGATGTGTTCTTTAATATGCCTCTCCATCCCAACCCAAGGCAGTACATATATCAAGCAGTCAACGTACCAATTATGGTGGACGTCACAAGTTTCTCCAGAGATGTTCAAGTCCAGTGCAATTGGGCTCTCCATTTTGACACATTCTTGCATCAAGGCTGGCGATTGGTGGAAATATTTTTGGATCATTCTTACATGCATTCTGGCGCTGTTCATACATCACACACCATGAACTCAGTGTGGTTCTTTGAAAAGCCTGCTGATACTATGAATGATCCAACCCCAGTCTATGAGGGGACAGTGATGGAGTTTCAGCATGAAATCACAACTGATATAGGAGGAACTCACGGAGAAGCTGGATGGAACCCAGTTGTACAGAACATGGGAGCCAGCGGCTGGGAGCTGGCATGTATTCTGGATACTCCAGAAGTATGGACAACAGGTGTTGGCAGGTACAAGACCATGAGGTTGATGCTATTTTTTCAGAGGAGAATAATCCGCTAGTCCCATGTGGTTTAAGGCCAACTTCTCCTGGTTCTACTGTACCCCTGTTGCAGAGAGTACCAAACAATGATGATTTGAATACACTGTAGGGTGTTTAACAAAATAAGAGGTGTTTTTTGTAAAATGGTGCAATGCATATAAATTAATATGCTGTTATGGTGTGGAAATCTCTTTTCGAATGGATAAAGAAAGATTTGTAATGTTTAATGTTTTTTTTTTTCTTTTTAATACCTTGCATGTTTTCAATATACAAATGGTACAAATAGCGCATGTTAACCTTTTACATAGTTTATATTGACATATACGGTTAATTTTATTGGTCTGCAATGGTTTCTCATTTAAGACATTATTATAATATAATGTATGTTCTCTTTTTATAAATACACATTGGCATTTAGAGTTGTTACCTTTTAACAAAGTTTCTTAATTTTAGAAACATTTTATTTTATAACAAAAAGAGTGAGAAAAATCAATATGACAAACGATGTATATGGGTCATTCAGAACAGAAGATCCGAGGATCAAATATGGCGAACTCTACATGAAAGAAGTGCCGACTAATCTGCTGATGGTCTCCCCGCCTCCACATGTGCCATCCTTGCAGTGGTCTAGCAATTAAACCTCGGAGCCATGATTTAATCCGTTTAATGGTGCGTGTGAAGGCTGGAAGACCATCAGCAGATTAAAAATTAAACCAAGATCATACTTTTAGGGATCATTTCTATAGTAAAGTCTTGCATATTCGTGGATCAGAAGATGCTCGGATATTCTGTTCTGAATGGCCACAAACACACACATATCTTCATATTTCTCTGAACAATAAATGTTTTTATACATAGAACACAATCTGTTTTGTGCCTGATGATTGTAAACAGTTAAAAGCATAGGAATTAAACCAAGACCCCTTTTTTGTTTCCAATGAATTATTTCTTTTAAGTATAATGGAATGATCCAATACATAACGTACCTATTGAAGGTCGTAAAAACTCGAGTTGGGTAGCTTAATTTACAGGTAGCGAGTAGAAACCTAGGTCGCTAGGATGCTACGCGATCTTTTTACATCAATTAAGTTTCTTTTTAAAAAAGCAATTTTGTCCTCATGTTTCATCATTCCAGTTGTTCAACCCCTTAAACGCTATGAAACGTCCCTGAACTTGGCTTCGATGGTTTATACTATTTTTAGAGTGACTTAATTCAACGGGAATCGTGATTTATTTAGACCGCTATATATGTCTTTCTGACATTTCGGAAAAGGAAAAGGAAATGTCAACAACCAATACTGGGTGTGGCCTATTTTCAGGGTTTTGTCGTATTTAAGATTAAATTTTGCAAACATGAGTAGCTTTGCTGAATATTTAGACATAAGAATATGACTGGATCATTTTCAAAAGTTTATAGAATATCTTTAACGTTTACATATAGTTTCTTGGTTTTAACTTGGACATAATAATGTCCAATGTTTTAATTAGCTCTTTCAATATATATTTAATAGTTTCAAGAACATCTTTTTAGTGAATTACTGTATGAAAACGAATAATCATCAAAGGGCGCGTGGACAAGAAGCACATTCTGAAGATACCAGTAGCAGATATAGATTCTAACTTTTTGACAGGTTTTAATTGCGATTGATTTTCTGATTTTTTAGACTGCGCTGTCACATTAAGCGTAAAAAAGTGGTACGTATGGGTATGTGACATCGATTATCACTGATTCTCAATATATAGGTCCATTTGGAGAAAACAGAAAAGTGAGAAATGAAATTTAAAAATAATATATTCGGGAATCCTCTAAACCTCTGGTGACGGAAAGTGATAAATCTAGCTTAAAATTATGAAACATTTCAAGATTCATGCCTTACTAGTATGGGGAAATTTTCCGGTATTTAGTAACGAAGGTGTCAGCTGTTTAAGTAACGACAGTTTTAAAAATAACAACCCTTTTGGGTAATATTAGCAAGTTATTAATACTAAGAATAATTAGACTTTGCTCAAGGGGTATTCCAAGATCCACGTTTATTCAACTGACACATTTTGTCCTCAACCTCGAATATATTTCAAAATGCCTGGTAACGAAGGTTTTGAAAATTACTTTTCAAGAGAATGCAGTTTGACCTATGTTTCCTGTAAAACATTTAACTGTACCGTGTCACGGTGTCACTACATGTATATATCGTCTAGTAAATCATGAACGTAACTGGACTGAAGATTTTACTAATAGCTAAAATATTGCACAATCATCAAGCAACTAAAATAGACGTAACGAAGTTTTTTTCCAACTTTTAAAAACCCGGCGCCACCGCAAAAGAAGATGTTATTGATTAATTTATTTAAAAGAAACATTCTAAACCTTTTTAGAGACGTTAGACATTATACCCGCTTTCAAACAAGATGCAGATGTTCTACTTTACTAGTAAAAATAAACTAGAAGAATGAGAGATGGTGTTGTGAACTTGTGACAGTAACTTACGTGGGCCCTACGAAGGTTTAAAGTTTAAATTTATTCCGTTTATTTTTTTAAATATGTTTTGTTTATTTATTTTTTGTGTGAGAACTGATAAATAAACGTTTTTAAGAAGCTAGACTGATGTTCGTTAAGGTCTACTTGGGACAAACAATTCTTCCGCTTGCTTACTTTTAATAATCTTTTATAAATTTTAATTGGGTCTATAGAGAGAGATGTAGCACTCGCGAGTACGTCTTTATTTCTGCACATGCGCAAACGTTAGATTCCTGTGGCTGTAGCAACTACTAGGAAGTGCGGGTGGGAGGGAAGCAACTTATCACCGACTGCTGCATACAGATCTTACGGGACCGTATAATAAAGGGTGATGTAAGTACAATGTAGCTTAAGTTTTTTTCCAAGGATCATGACCGTAATTTAATGGAAGCAAACCCCCACTGACTGCGTATACTGTAGGCTCGATCAGTGTAAGCTGATTTTTATACGACTGTCACTGCATGGTCAATTTAGCACGAAATCCGTGATCGAACATGATCCATGCGTCAGCATGTGCACTCTCTAATATATAAACTATACTCTCTGATATATAATATATATACTATACATTTTTCAGAAAACGCAACGGTCAATTCAACTGAACGTTGGAAAGCAGCAAAGTCTGATATGTACCATTGTATTTATTACAGCGTAACTGAAACTTACAATACGGCACTGTATTGCGCAATTTACGGAGACCCCATAAGGGTGAAAAAGCACATATTTGTATCAGTACTATTATCCTGTAAATAAGTTATTGAAAAATCCAAATTTCAGCAAAAATATTATGAAAAATAAAGGTTTATGTCATGGTTTTACATTGTATGGAAAATTGAGCATGACCGCCAATACCTATATTACATTAATTTTGTCGGTTAATAGTTGTTAAAAGTGATGATTCTAGATCTAAAAAAGCAATATCAGGTCACTTTGATGCCCACTGATGGCATATTGACTTGTTAAGCAAAGGAAGTTTAGTGACATATTTTGAAATTTAAATTGTTTTCAGCTGCTTCTGTCAACTACTGCTCTTTATTTGATTACAGGTGTTAGGGGAAAATGGGCAATAAATCCCACAAAGGAACTGTAGTATCAGCTGGATCAGGAGGACACCAGGACCAGCAGGCAGTGCAACTCCCACCATATCATGGATCACCTTGCCATTATCAGTTGCTGGAGATGTCAGTGACATTCCAGAACAACATGGCTTTTAACTTTTCTCCTGGTCAGAATATGATTAGTACCAACATAGACAGCTACTACCCTGCCCTAGCACAACCATATCAGCAGGGCTGGAGAATGACATCATTCTACAGGATACCAGGAGTGGCTCAGCAGCAAGGACTTTTTAGTACAGCAGTAAATGTACCTTTCCAAGGAATATTTGTCAGGTTAGCCAGTGATCCAGAGTTTTGTAGTGAACAGTATCAACTGAAAGTGGAGAAGTCTATCATGTATGTGGCAACTTTTAGAGGAGGTAAATTATTTTTCTAAATAAGTTATAGTTATTTTATTGGTTGATGTGGTGAACTAGTAGTATTTGGCCACAGCAGCCTATGCCATTTTCCATTCAAATACTTGCAGTCCAAACATCTCAGTGTTTGGCATGTGTATCTTTTATTGTCATTGATGGAATTTTGTAAGAATATGAAATTATGAGTGAATTTGTTCCTTGTGATATTTTATCTTTTATTTTTCCTTGTGATATTTTATCTTTTCTTTATAAAGAATTTAGCAAAAATTCACCCTAAAATAACATACATAACCATTCTGGGTACACTTCTAAAACTGAGAAAATGGGTTACAGTCAGTACAATCATATACTGGTACAGCTGTTTGTCATTAAACAAATAAGACTTTTCTAAAATTTGTATATATATATATATATAAAAAAACTTTCACAAAAATATTTTCAGCTATTCAGATTTATAAAGACTAAATTCTAATTGGAGCTTGTATATAGATGTACTAGCATAATTTTTGTTTAAAAGATAGTTATTTGGGTTATTAGGCCTTGTTTTCAAGGTGCTTTTAGATATTTTGGATGAACATTGTCGACAGTAATGCATACTTTATTTAACCAAGGTACTTTAGTACTTATGTTTGATGAACATTTAAAAAAAAAGTTTTATAGGTATGCTGTCATTGACGGGGCCACAGGGTGTCCAGGGTGATATGTCAGATATCCAGATGAAGATAGCTCAGAACACTCAGCATGGTGGCAGGCTAGTGTGTGTCGAGATGTCAGGACAGTATGTGACACAGGGAATGGGAGCAGCTATGAGGGGAGTATCTCCAGGTAAGACAGTATTACTGGGAATGAGAGCAATTCAGAGGGGAGTATCAGCTTGTAAGTTGTACATATAAGACACAGTGAGTGGCACAGGGAATGGGACCAGCTATGACAGGGATGCCTGCAGGCCTGAAAGTACCTTTGTGTCACTGTGTATGGGGATGGCCACGAATTAAGGTTTATAAAGGACAGCCATACATTTTTGTTCAGGGACGTTGCAATTGAAAATTGATTATGTCCCTGTTTTTCAATTTTGCTCCAACATGACAGCATTAAAAAACATTTTATTTGCACATGAATATTTATTTTGAGTCGTTTCTGAGACCACATTTTGACACCATTTTACAGGGGTGTCTGCATTTGTGTAACCCATATTGCCTTTTTTTGTATCAAGTTTTTTCAAATTCTTATAAGAAAAAGTAAAAAAAAAAAAGGGGATAAATGGAAATGTATAATACTGTTATTCTCAAACTTGCCATTAAATTTTTTTCAGGTATTGGAGTTGATGTTTTCTTTAACATGCCCCTCCATCCCAACCCAAGGTGTTACACTTATCAAGCAGTCAATGTACCGATTGGAATCCGCTCCAAAATGGGTTTCACTCCAACTATTCAGGTCCAATGTGATTGGATGAGTCATTATGCAGCTTTTTTACAGCAAGGCTGGCGATTGGTGGAAATATTTTTGGATCAATCTTACATGCGATCAGGTGCTTTCAGTACTTCAGCCACCATGAACACAGTGTGGTTCTTTGAAAAACCAGCTGATGCTTTGAATGATCCAACCCCAGTCTATGAAGGGACTATAGTGGATTTTGAGCATAAAATAACAGGTGGTTTTGGAGGAGCTAGAGGAAGTGCTGGATGGAATCCAGTATTAGAAGACATGGGAACCAGGGGCTGGGAACTGGCTTGTATCCTAGAGACACCAGAAATAAGGACGACTGGCATTGGTCAAATCAAGATGAAGCTGTTGCTCTTCTTTCAGAGGAAGATCGTTAGGCAATATCCTGGGTCTGCAGAGGCAGCACCTCCCCCACCAGGTTTTGCTGTCCCCCCCACTGCAGAGAAGGCAGAGCCAGTGATGACTGAAAAACCAGAGCACTTTAATCAATAAGAGATGCTGTGGGAGCGTAGCTATAAATTATTCACCTTTGTGACTGCATCGAGATAGCATAATTTCATGCACAAATTGCATTCCAGACACTTTTAAATGTTAATCAAGTTACATATCAGTGTTTGGTAAAATTATTTAGGTATCTGAGGTATAATCTCATTACCTTAATCTCTAAATGTATGTTATTAAATAAAACTACCTGTAATACAATTTAATAGAATGTTTACAGTTGTGAAAGAATTGAGGCTTCATCTTTTAGCATAATGTTACATATGTAGTTATATCTTTGCCACTAAAACTCAACCAAATGCCATCATATAGTTTCAAATAGCATAACGTTAAAGAAATACCAAAGGGCATATTATGTCTTAAAAGAAACAAGTAGAAGTTGTTTATGTGTGTTACAGGGAATTTACAATCATTTCATAAATAACTTTGTTTAAATTAGTGTTTAAAAGGTCTCTAGTCAATGTAACTTAATTGGCTTCAATGCATCTTGCTATAGGAATAGCTTTTACTTGTTTATTTTATGTTTGTACTTCATCTTGTACATAGTTTGTAGAGATAAATATTTTTTATTGTCAGAAATTGGTCAGTCACACCATTAGCTGGACTTCCTAGGCCATTTTAGGAAGCTCCAGATCTCTGCCACAAAAAAATATTGGGGTCAGTCATCAAATAGATAGGCTGCCATCTTCTAAGCAAAACACATTATGATAACAGTAGGATACAGATTGGTGTGTATGGCCATAATTAATGACAAGCATAACGGTCAGTAATGCTAGTAACATAAAGCATTGAAAGTCAGTTTTTGTACGTTTATTCTCTTCAATATATATATATATATATATATATATATATATATATATATATATATATATATATATAGTTTGTCTTGAAACTAGGAGTAGAGGTATTTATATGTCTTAGTTTTTAGAATTATGTATAAATGCTTCCATCAGTGTTGAGCACTCTGGAAACTATACACTTCATATCAATACACATTCGTAAATGAACTTCTAAGAGATGCTTAAAGGTAGTGGTTTTTCTGCAATAGTAATTTGTTTGACATTTTACTTCAAATATTTGTATTATTAATTTTTACCAACTTGTTTCTCAACCCCCTCTAACCTAAAAACGGCCTTAATAGAAAAAAAAATTGAATGACATAAAATGCATTGATAATCAAGGGGAGGTAAAGACATAAGTTTTAAACCAACATGATTATTGTATGTCACCAGTAATTAAGACAAAAAAGTTCAGTGAAAAGGAGTCACTGCTTACTATTGTCCAAAAGGTTTTTAAAAAGTAACAAAAAACATTTTTGAACTTTTGAAATCCCCCACCTCACAATTCTTATTTTCTTAAGAAAATAAGAATTGCTTGTAAAACAAGTTATTTTAAAAAATCCAACTCAAATATTTCAAAGGGAAGGAGAATCATTTTTAATATTAGATTACACTCTTTTATCAGGTTTCAAAGGAATACATATATAAAGGAATACATATATATATAAAGGATCAAAAGCTTATATTTTACAAGCATATATTATAAGTGGCATTTTAATTGTGCTTCTCATTATTTATTCACAATAAATGTGTAACAAGGAATATCATTTATGTGTTAGACCTAAATTCAAAATATTAACACTTTCAAACCAATTTTTTTTTGTCCTTACACAAGTCCATCAGTTGTATTCTTTTCCATGCAACAATTTTGTCTCTCTTCTTTATCAAACACAATTTCTCAATAAACTGTTTGAGACTGTTAGTCTGCATGAGCCACATAAGCTTTCCAAATGACCTTCACTCATTTGACTTCTAAAGAAATTTGAAACAAATTATATAACTCTTTGGGACTGATATTTGCCTGAAAATAGTTTTCTCAAAAGACATAAAAAATTGTGGATAATGTGAATGATTTTTGATACATTTTAGAATATTTTGTCAATTCTTGACCTGGGTCTTTGACACTTCAGATTATTGCCCTTGGTATCCATTAATGCTTGGTCACAGCATGAAGATGGTTGACACAGGATTTCCTGCTTGGAAGAATAAGTCTTTCAAGAAGACCTACACATAGTTCATTCTTTAAACTTCCATTCTTGTCTGCACATTGGACAAAGCTGGTTTATCTGTTGGGAGTTCAGCCATTTCACAATGCAGTGGATGTGGAAACAATGTGAGCACTGGCCCCAGACTGAAATTTTCAAATGTAATTTTAATACCATAAATTGTAATTAGTCAAATCGATAAGACTGTGATGCATTTTGATTTCTTAATAAATTATATTCAAAACAATTGTCTTTGACATATCCTGCCCTNTAATTGGCTTCAATGCATCTTGCTATAGGAATAGCTTTTACTTGTTTATTTTATGTTTGTACTTCATCTTGTACATAGTTTGTAGAGATATATATTTTTTATTGTCAGAAATTGGTCAGTCACACCATTAGCTGGACTTCCTAGGCCATTTTAGGAAGCTCCAGATCTCTGCCACAAAAAAATATTGGGGTCAGTCATCAAATAGATAGGCTGCCATCTTCTAAGCAAAACACATTATGATAACAGTAGGATACAGATTGGTGTGTATGGCCATAATTAATGACAAGCATAACGGTCAGTAATGCTAGTAACATAAAGCATTGAAAGTCAGTTTTTGTACGTTTATTCTCTTCAATATATATATATATATATATATATATATATATATATATATATATATATATATATAGTTTGTCTTGAAACTAGGAGTAGAGGTATTTATATGTCTTAGTTTTTAGAATTATGTATAAATGCTTCCATCAGTGTTGAGCACTCTGGAAACTATACACTTCATATCAATACACATTCGTAAATGAACTTCTAAGAGATGCTTAAAGGTAGTGGTTTTTCTGCAATAGTAATTTGTTTGACATTTTACTTCAAATATTTGTATTATTAATTTTTACCAACTTGTTTCTCAACCCCCTCTAACCTAAAAACGGCCTTAATAGAAAAAAAATTGAATGACATAAAATGCATTGATAATCAAGGGGAGGTAAAGACATAAGTTTTAAACCAACATGATTATTGTATGTCACCAGTAATTAAGACAAAAAAGTTCAGTGAAAAGGAGTCACTGCTTACTATTGTCCAAAAGGTTTTTAAAAAGTAACAAAAAACATTTTTGAACTTTTGAAATCCCCCACCTCACAATTCTTATTTTCTTAAGAAAATAAGAATTGCTTGTAAAACAAGTTATTTTAAAAAATCCAACTCAAATATTTCAAAGGGAAGGAGAATCATTTTTAATATTAGATTACACTCTTTTATCAGGTTTCAAAGGAATACATATATAAAGGAATACATATATATATAAAGGATCAAAAGCTTATATTTTACAAGCATATATTATAAGTGGCATTTTAATTGTGCTTCTCATTATTTATTCACAATAAATGTGTAACAAGGAATATCATTTATGTGTTAGACCTAAATTCAAAATATTAACACTTTCAAACCAATTTTTTTTTGTCCTTACACAAGTCCATCAGTTGTATTCTTTTCCATGCAACAATTTTGTCTCTCTTCTTTATCAAACACAATTTCTCAATAAACTGTTTGAGACTGTTAGTCTGCATGAGCCACATAAGCTTTCCAAATGACCTTCACTCATTTGACTTCTAAAGAAATTTGAAACAAATTATATAACTCTTTGGGACTGATATTTGCCTGAAAATAGTTTTCTCAAAAGACATAAAAAATTGTGGATAATGTGAATGATTTTTGATACATTTTAGAATATTTTGTCAATTCTTGACCTGGGTCTTTGACACTTCAGATTATTGCCCTTGGTATCCATTAATGCTTGGTCACAGCATGAAGATGGTTGACACAGGATTTCCTGCTTGGAAGAATAAGTCTTTCAAGAAGACCTACACATAGTTCATTCTTTAAACTTCCATTCTTGTCTGCACATTGGACAAAGCTGGTTTATCTGTTGGGAGTTCAGCCATTTCACAATGCAGTGGATGTGGAAACAATGTGAGCACTGGCCCCAGACTGAAATTTTCAAATGTAATTTTAATACCATAAATTGTAATTAGTCAAATCGATAAGACTGTGATGCATTTTGATTTCTTAATAAATTATATTCAAAACAATTGTCTTTGACATATCCTGCCCTCATTTAAACAAGAAAAAAACTTAGCAGTTAAGATTCCATTTCCACTGATTTCCACTTATTTTTAAATCAGTGAGTGAAATTTGAAATCATTATCCTTCACAAAATGTGCACTTATTTAGTTATTTCCTTTCCCTCAGTTTACCTCTGAGCAAAATCCACTGCACATACCTAGGGGACAGTCATCTCCTGGCAGTTTACAGTCGGGGCAGCATCCATCAAATGGCATTCGACATATCCCACAATTGTCATCATTGGCTATCCACTTCCAAGTTGCAACTGCAGTCCAACTGAAAATAAAACAGCAAAATATTTGACACTTTGTTCCAGTATATTTTCATATACATATACATATTTTTGTGTACCGATTTTTTAAAGGAGATCTTACCAACATGTGCAAAAATGAAATTTATTATAAACATGTTATATACAAAGGACAAGGTCTACAGAATAAAGAGTGAACAGTAAATCAGAACAATGCTACAAAAATGAGTCCTTGTTACAAACCTCTCCTACCCCAAAAAATGTAGACACATGAGCAGTTGTCCCATACATAAGGAAAATTAAGGTTTGCCTGATGAAAACATGTACCACTTGTAGCAAAACAATGGTAAGAAATCCAGGCAAAAAAAGATGCTGTATATTTTCTTTTTACTAAGTTGATCTAGATATGATATGATATAACATTTATTTTCTGAATGTTTCAGTATGCATTTTCATGAGAAAAACAGCAGAAGTTTTAGGGAAAATAATTTTTTTATATATAACCATGGGCATCTAAATCCGAAGACCTGCTTCCAGCATCTTCATATTTCAATTTACTTTTGACTCCTCTTGTAACACTTTTAATTCGCAAATGCAAAGATGGATTACATTAATGGTTTTGCTTTGCTAAAAATCACTGAAATTGAAATGACATGATTGGGCAAAGAGGTTGGACACATTCTCGAATGGATATGCTCAACACTGTCTTCTCTCCAATTTCCTGGATGACATGATTACTAACTTACCCTAAATAAAAGGAAACACAGGGCCATGTGAACATGAAACAAAGAACCATATATTAATATAAATGTCAAAATATTAATGATAACCAATACTTTATTTTAATAATAAATAATGAATAAATAATAAAGACACTGCGCAGTAGGTAAATGCTTCAATTTTTTTTGATAGCACTATGTTTCTTTAACTGATGTAAAAATTTCCAAGTTGCTTCAGTTTTCGGCTTAAAAGCCTACGCTTTAAGTACCTAATATGTAACTGTACGGCAGAAATACTGACAGTGAAGCTGAAGCCAGTGAAGGTCTGGCGGAGTTGACCACTTGCAATTCATCTATTCTTTGCATATCAAAGAGCAAATAAAATTGCACTTGCGGTAAAGTTGAATATGTTTGCTACTACTTGCCTTTGATCTTGACCTTCATCAGTGTTCTCGAAATATTCCGTGTTTTAGTTGTATTTTTTCACCATTTGAAAAAAGTGCGGAAAATGTGAGATTCTATATTTAAGGTTTTTGTGTGTTACGTTAGGTGTCGCTGTGCCCAAGATAAACCACAGTCTATATAACGATGTAATATAATTCATAATTGCATTTCTATTGTACAGCCCATTTTTAAAATTCTAAATTGAAATCAATGATATATTGATTACGTCACTGGAAAGAGAAATTTGGAACATTTATAAAGGCTTTTATTGCATGCGGCATCTACCGGTAATTTTCTCATTCTTGGAGCGCCATTGTTTTTAGAGCAAATTCGCCAGCGATGTAGTATTATTTTTCTTCCTAATTTAGGTGCAAGTATGGATGGGTCAATAAATGCAGGACAGGATGCAAATTTTGTCCTCTTTAAAAACCAGGTATGTGACTTGATGGCATTAAGGGCAGTTGAATCAATTAAAAATAAGGTTTTTCATTTTGCAGGGGTGTCACCATATGGTGCCTCACGCCAAAATCGGCGTATTAGTTCTGGGGCTATCTAAGTGGGGTATAATAATCAAAACAGGCGATTTTAAGTTTTTTGTCTTATGCATTAAAATTTCTTTATTGAAAATGAATCTTACTGTTGTGTTTTTGAAACTTTATTTTGGACCTTTATGAGTAAAATGTGTATTTAAATATGTTTGATTTAAGTGGGTGGGGTCAGAGAATGGGGGTCGCAACCGAGACACAAATTGTGTTACTAAATGAAACCCCCTTGAATGTAAACAAATACTTCAGTCGAAGGAGGGTTAGGAGATGATGATTAAGGCGGTGAAAACGTCATTAGATAAGTCAGCTAAATTCAATCAATGTGCTCAAAACCATTTTTTACTTTGTAAATTTTGTATAGCTACAGTTAACTGAGGTGCTGACATTTTACGTTTTATTTTCCCATTCCTTTTAAAATGTACTCCAGTCTATAAGCACTCGTTTTGAATGGGGAAGCAAACTATTCTATCAATGGAATTCAAATAAACAAAATAAAATAATTTTTCAGCTGCTTCATAATTTCCAGTTTTTATAATTTTTTTTCTATATCTGTACATATCTACTTTGAAATCAATGAGAGTGTAAATAGATAAATGAAAAAGTGTATTATGTGTCGAGTAATATACCTATTTATTTTTTTCTAATGTGTAATCCATCTGCCTAAATTTGAAAAATGTCAAATGAAAATGAGGCATTTTTTAAAACATATTTAATACATTGCAATATTACACAGTATTATACAAATTTCCATGTTTTACTCAATTTCAGTTGATGACTTCTATACAGGAAGTATATAAAATGAAGAGTAAGGAACAAATACAATGTCTTGATCTGCTAAAAGTGGTCACTGTGCAGTTAGAACAACTGCTCAGGCTGCTTGGAGCAACTGGAGTTTGGGTACATGGTGACAGCGCAGGGTGCGATGGTAAAACTTTACCTGGATTTTCAGCTGATAGTAAAATACAAGGAAACTCAGATGGAGAAAATGAGAGCAATAAGTGTTTCAGTAAAATCATTGACATTATATCAGAGCAATCTTTATTATCCCTCCCCACACCATCTACCTGCCAGATATCACACGATGTAAAGGATTGTACAGAGTTCCCTTACACAGCCAGGCAGAGATATGTGGGGGATACTAGTGTTGGTGCTGTGTGTGGCATACTGGATGAACTTGTAGACCAAGCCGTTAACCTCAGTCAGTTGGCACTTGCAGCTTCAGAGACGTTTACAACTCAGAGAGGCAGAGTTGTATCAAAACCTAATCTGAAGAAAACCATGGAAGGAAATGATGCTGATGTGGAACCCCGACCTAAAAGAAGACGTGGGCGGCCACCGAAAAATAAAGATAGTCAATACTGCAAGACGGACACAGTGACAAAGAAGATCAAAATGAAGGCATTAAAGACAGCAGGTGATAGGCAGCGTGTCAAACAGCAGAGACAGACAGTTTCCAGCAAAAGAAAAAATCCACATCCAAGAAAGCTCACTCAGTTGGAAAATAAGGAGACCAAAGCAGTGGAAGAAGATCCTTCATTGGCTGTTGATGAATTAAATGAAAAAGAAAATNTCCTTTAAACAAAAAAAAAATTAGCAGTTAAGATTCCATTTCCACAGATTTCCACTTATTTTCAAATCACTGAGTGAAATTTGAAATCATTATCCTTCACAGAATGTGCACTTATTTAGTTATTTCCTTCCCCTCAGTTTACCTCTGAGCAAAATCCACTGCACCTACCTAGGGGACAGTCATCTCCTGGCAGTTTACAGTCGGGGCAGCATCCATCAAATGGCATTCGACATATCCCACAATTGTCATCATTGGCTATCCACTTCCAAGTTGCAACTGCAGTCCAACTGAAAATAAAACAGCAGAATGTTTGACACTTTGTTCCAGTATATTTTCATATACATGTACATACTTTTGTGTACAGATTTTTTAAAGGAGATCTTACCAACATGTGCAAAAATGAAATTTATTATAAACATGTTATTTACAAAGGACAAGATCTACAGAATAAAGAATGAACAGTAAATCAGAATAATGCTATAAAAATGAGTCCTTGTTACAAACCTCTCCTACCCCAAAAAATGTAGACACATGAGCAGTTGTCCCATACATAAAGAAAATTAAGGTTTGCCTGATGAAAACATGTACCACTTGTAGCAAAACAATGGTAAGAAATCCAGGCAAAAAAAGATGCTGCATATTTTCTTTTTACTAAGTTGATCTAGATATGATATGATATAACATTTATTTTCTGAATGTTTCAGTATGCGTTTTCATGAGAAAAACAGCAGAAGTTTTAGGGAAAATAATTTTTTTATATATAACCATGGGCATCTAAATCCGAAGACCTGCTTCCAGCATCTTCATATTTCAATTTACTTTTGACTCCTCTTGTAACACTTTTAATTCGCAAATGCAAAGATGGATTACATTAATGGTTTTGCTTTGCTAAAAATCACTGAAATTGAAATGACATGATTGGGTAAAGAGGTTGGACACATTCTCGAATGGATATGCTCAACACTGTCTTCTCTCCAATTTCCTGGATGACACGATTACTAACTTACCCTAAATAAAAGGAAACACAGGGCCATGTGAACATGAAACAAAGAACCATATATTAATATAAATGTCAAAATATTAATGATAACCAATACTTTATTTTAATAATAAATAATGAATAAATAATAAAGACACTGGTAAATGGTAGGTAAATGCTTCAATTTTTTTTGATAGCACTATGTTTCTTTGACTGATGTAAAAATTTCCAAGTTGCTTCAGTTTTCGGCTTAAAAGCCTACCATTTAAAGCAATAATAACTCTTCCTTTGAGATTCAAAATTCCGCATGAAATACATTGTAAACAACGCATGGAAATATATTCTATTGTATTTTACCACTAAAACGGCCGTTATTGTAGTAAAACTAAAATCTGTGCTTGTCAATAGGGCTTTCGAAGCTTTCATCAAGGCATTCGTTGCTAATGACGTAATGGTGTCACGCGGATTCTCGCGTTCATTCGAGACCAAAATAACATATGGCGCCAAACGCATTAATGCGGACGCAGACGTAAGTTGCGAGTTTTTGTACAGTGCGTCGGATAACAAAAAGCCCAGAACGGCACACATTGTGGATATTAATGTATTTTTAACAAAAAGACGAATATATCTCATGAATCTTATATAGTGTTGTTGTTGTCTGCTTTTCCCGCGGTTTTAAGTAGGTCAACAGTGACTATGCGATGTCAGAGAGAGCTCCGTCAGTTAAAATCTCTTAAGAGATTTTAACAAAAAACCGTACGTTTAGGAAAAAAACCCTGGATTAACTTTGAATGCAGGATTGGGGTCGCTGACCATTGGTAAGTACGGGAAAATTGCCGTTTACTCCAGGAAAATCCAATTTTTGGCCAAAATGAAGAGTTATTATGACTTTAAGTACCTAATATGTAACTGTACGGCAGAAATACTGACAGTGAAGCTGAAGCCAGTGAAGGTCTGGCGGAGTTGACCAGTTGCAATTCATCTATTCTTTGCATATCAAAGAGCAAATAAAATTGCACTTGCGGTAAAGTTGAATATGTTTGCTACTACTTGCCTTTGATCTTGACCTTCATCAGTGTTCTCGAAATATTCCGTGTTTTAGGTGTATTTTTTCACCATTTGAAAAAAGTGCGGAAAATGAGAGATTCTATATTTAAGGTTTTAGTGTGTTACGTTAGGTGTCGCTGTGCCCAAGATAAATCACAGTCTATATAACGATGTAATATAATTCATAATTGCATTTCTATTGTACAGCCCATTTTTAAAATTCTAAATTGAAATTAACGATATATTGATTACGTCACTGGAAAGAGAAATTTGGAACAATTATTAAGGCTTTTATTGCATGCGGCATCTACCGGTAATTTTCTCATTCTTGGAGCGCCATTGTTTTTAGAGCAAATTCGCCAGCGATGTAGTATTATTTTTCTTCCTAATTTAGGTGCAAGTATGGATGGGTCAATAAATGCAGGACAGGATGCAAATTTTGTCCTCTTTAAAAACCAGGTATGTGACTTGATGGCATTAAGGGCTGTTGAATCAATTAAAAATAAGGTTTTTCATTTTGCAGGGGTGTCACCATATGGTGCCTCACGCCAAAATCGGCGTATTAGTTCTGGGGCTATCTAAGTGGGGTATAATAATCAAAACAGGCGATTTTAAGTTTTTTGTCTTATGCATTAAAATTTCTTCATTGAAAATGAATCTTACTGTTGTGTTTCTGAAACTTTATTTTGGACCTTTATGAGTAAAATGTGTATTTAAATATGTTTGATTTAAGTGGGTGGGGTCAGAGAATGGGGGTCGCAACCGAGACACAAATTGTGTTACTAAATGAAACCCCCTTGAATGTAAACAAATACTTCAGTTGAAGGAGGGTTAGGAGATGACGATTAAGGCGGTGAAAACGTCATTGGATAAGTCAGCTTAATTCAATCAAAGTGCTCAAAACCATTTTTTACTTTGTAAATTTTGTATAGCTACAGTTAACTGATGTGCTGACATTTTACGTCGTTTTATTTTCCCATTCCTTTTAAAATGTACTTCAGTCTATAAGCACTCGTTTTGAATGGGGAAGCAAACTATATTCTATCAATGGAATTCAAATAAACAAAATAAAATGATTTTTCAGCTGCTTCATAATTTCCAGTTTTTATAATTTTTTTTCTATATCTGTACATATCTACTTTGAAATCAATGAGAGTGTAAATAGATAAATGAAAAAGTGTATTATGTGCCGAGTAATATACCTATTTATTTTTTTCTAATGTGTAATCCATCTGCCTAAATTTGAAAAATGTCAAATGAAAATGAGGCATTTTTAAAAACATATTTAATACATTGCAATATTACACAGTATTATACAAATTTCCATGTTTTACTCAATTTCAGTTGATGACTTCTATACAGGAAGTATATAAAATGAAGAGTAAGGAACAAATACAATGCCTTGATCTGCTAAAAGTGGTCACTGTGCAGTTGGAACAACTGCTCAGGCTGCTTGGAACAACTGGAGTTTGGGTACATGGTGACAGCGCAGGGTGCGATGGTAAAACTTTACCTGGATTTTCAGCTGATAGTGAAATACAAGGAAACTCAGATGGAGAAAATGAGAGAAATAAGTGTTTCAGTAAAATCATTGACATTATATCAGAGCAATCTTTATTATGCCTTCCCACACCATCTACCTGCCAGATATCACACAATGTAAAGGATTGTACAGAGTTCCCTTACACAGCCAGGCAGAGATATGTGGGGGATACTAGTGTTGGTGCTGTGTGTGGCATACTGGATGAACTTGTAGACCAAGTCGTTAACCTCAGTCAGTTGGCACTTGCAGCTTCAGAGACGTTTACAACTCAGAGAGGCAGAGTTGTATCAAAACCTAATCTGAAGAAAACTATGGAAGGAAATGATGCTGAAATTGAACCCCGACCTAAAAGAAGACGTGGGCGTCCACCGAAAAATAAAGATAGCCAATACTGCAAGACAGACACAGTGACAAAGAAGATCAAAATGAAGGCATTAAAGACAGCAGGTGATAGGCAGCGTGTCAAACAGCAGAGACAGACAGTTTCCAGCAAAAGAAAAAATCCACATCCAAGAAAGCTCACTCAGTTGGAAAATAAGGAGACCAAAGCAGTGGAAGAAGATCCTTCATTGGCTGTTGATGAATTAAATGAAAAAGAAAACGATGAAGCAAATGATGTAGATTACAGTGCATCTGTAGACCAAGGCTCAATGTCTGAAAATGAAGATGATGATGATGATTACAAACCAGATAGAAAAATGAGGAAAAGGCGTTGGAAACACAGACGGAAAATTGTACANTTTTCATTTTGCAGGGGTGTCACCATATGGTGCCTCACGCCAAAATCGGCGTATTAGTTCTGGGGCTATCTAAGTGGGGTATAATAATCAAAACAGGCGATTTTAAGTTTTTTGTCTTATGCATTAAAATTTCTTCATTGAAAATGAATCTTACTGTTGTGTTTCTGAAACTTTATTTTGGACCTTTATGAGTAAAATGTGTATTTAAATATGTTTGATTTAAGTGGGTGGGGTCAGAGAATGGGGGTCGCAACCGAGACACAAATTGTGTTACTAAATGAAACCCCCTTGAATGTAAACAAATACTTCAGTTGAAGGAGGGTTAGGAGATGACGATTAAGGCGGTGAAAACGTCATTGGATAAGTCAGCTTAATTCAATCAAAGTGCTCAAAACCATTTTTTACTTTGTAAATTTTGTATAGCTACAGTTAACTGATGTGCTGACATTTTACGTCGTTTTATTTTCCCATTCCTTTTAAAATGTACTTCAGTCTATAAGCACTCGTTTTGAATGGGGAAGCAAACTATATTCTATCAATGGAATTCAAATAAACAAAATAAAATGATTTTTCAGCTGCTTCATAATTTCCAGTTTTTATAATTTTTTTTCTATATCTGTACATATCTACTTTGAAATCAATGAGAGTGTAAATAGATAAATGAAAAAGTGTATTATGTGCCGAGTAATATACCTATTTATTTTTTTCTAATGTGTAATCCATCTGCCTAAATTTGAAAAATGTCAAATGAAAATGAGGCATTTTTAAAAACATATTTAATACATTGCAATATTACACAGTATTATACAAATTTCCATGTTTTACTCAATTTCAGTTGATGACTTCTATACAGGAAGTATATAAAATGAAGAGTAAGGAACAAATACAATGCCTTGATCTGCTAAAAGTGGTCACTGTGCAGTTGGAACAACTGCTCAGGCTGCTTGGAACAACTGGAGTTTGGGTACATGGTGACAGCGCAGGGTGCGATGGTAAAACTTTACCTGGATTTTCAGCTGATAGTGAAATACAAGGAAACTCAGATGGAGAAAATGAGAGAAATAAGTGTTTCAGTAAAATCATTGACATTATATCAGAGCAATCTTTATTATGCCTTCCCACACCATCTACCTGCCAGATATCACACAATGTAAAGGATTGTACAGAGTTCCCTTACACAGCCAGGCAGAGATATGTGGGGGATACTAGTGTTGGTGCTGTGTGTGGCATACTGGATGAACTTGTAGACCAAGTCGTTAACCTCAGTCAGTTGGCACTTGCAGCTTCAGAGACGTTTACAACTCAGAGAGGCAGAGTTGTATCAAAACCTAATCTGAAGAAAACTATGGAAGGAAATGATGCTGAAATTGAACCCCGACCTAAAAGAAGACGTGGGCGTCCACCGAAAAATAAAGATAGCCAATACTGCAAGACAGACACAGTGACAAAGAAGATCAAAATGAAGGCATTAAAGACAGCAGGTGATAGGCAGCGTGTCAAACAGCAGAGACAGACAGTTTCCAGCAAAAGAAAAAATCCACATCCAAGAAAGCTCACTCAGTTGGAAAATAAGGAGACCAAAGCAGTGGAAGAAGATCCTTCATTGGCTGTTGATGAATTAAATGAAAAAGAAAACGATGAAGCAAATGATGTAGATTACAGTGCATCTGTAGACCAAGGCTCAATGTCTGAAAATGAAGATGATGATGATGATTACAAACCAGATAGAAAAATGAGGAAAAGGCGTTGGAAACACAGACGGAAAATTGTACATGTCTGTAAGATTTGCAAAGAATGGTTTACCCATGGACGTTCCTTTAATGCTCACCTCCAGACTCATGTTGAAAACCAGGATCATGGTGCAAGCTGCCGTGCTTGCAAAACAGAGTTTCCAAACACAGTGCAGTATATTCATCATGAATGCAAGGCTCTAAAGGAGAAGATCAAGGGTAAGCAACGGGACTGCAAGTATTGCAATCGTGTGTTCACCAACTACAAAAAGTGGCAATATCACATGAAGACAGTACATCATCAAAGGGTGCTGGATCCAACCTTGTTATACTGCTGTCTGTACTGTGGCAAGGGCTACTCCAGGAAATCCTCTCTCTACATCCACTACAAAGACCATGCCTTGGAGGGACAGGTTGTTTGTCAGAAGTGTGGTGAATTTCTGGATAATGAAGCAGCTTTCATAGAACACAACAAAGGCCATGAAGAGGAGGCACAGTTCTTCTGTGACCTGTGCAATATGAGTTTCATCCGTCGTCAGCAGTATAAGCAGCATCTGGAGGCTCACCAGAAATACACGTGCAATGTTTGTCAACAGTCATTTTCAATCAATAAACAGCTGATAAAACATAAGAAGATCGCCCATCGTATTAAGGGTCCATCTGAACCAAAGAAGTATGCTTGTCTGGTGTGTGACAAAAGATTTGTGAGACCTGGACTACTGGATATACACATAAGACTTCACACAGGTAATGAAAGGCTTTTAATTTGTAATTTTTTTTAAATTTGTTATTGAGTTCAGTATTTTTTTCTTTTATGACACATTAAATCTTGGATACAGTGCTTTGATTTTAGTATGCTAAATGGATTGAAGAAAATATTATTTGATGACCAATTTCTGTGGTTAGCATTGTCTATTGGAAAATGTTATTTAGCAGTTAAACTTCAAAATCTATGAAAAACTTTATTTGAGACCCTGTCCTTGTGTTCTAGGTGAGAAGCCCATAGAGTGTCCAATTTGCCACATGTACTTCAGGACTCCCAAAGCATTTGCCAAACACAAGCAAACACGCACACATCTTCTGAGAGCTGGAGAGTTACCCAGGGAGAGAGACCATCTCTGCTCAATATGTGGGAAGGCATTCTTTAGGTAGGTCTCTCCTTAGGACATCAAATCTTGATTGTTTTCAGGTACATGTCGTTTCCTACAGATACTTGCTTGGTCTTTACCTTCTTCACTTCCTTGTAAGCATAGGGGCTCTTTGGCACTCTATTCTGTGGTGCTCTTTTCACACATGGGTATATATTTGTATTGCTTTTAAAAACATACACATGTAACCCCATACACAGCAAATAGGATCATACAAAATTGAAAGAAGTAAGCATGCACAGTTTAAAAAAATGAACTGTACATTTATGTATTTCATGTATTTTTCACTTACAGAAAGCATGCCCTCCAGAGGCATATGCAGTACCACAGTGAGGACCGCCCTCACTGTTGTCCACACTGTGATTTCAAGTGTAAGGAACCAAACAACCTGAAGCGCCACATTGCACTGCATTTCTCCTCTGAGAGGAACTTTGTTTGTGATGTTTGTGGCGCAGCCTTCCACACCAAGAAAACCTTGCAGACACATCATGTGTATAAACACTCAGAGCAGCGAGAGTTCCCATGCAGTGACTGTAACCTCTCCTTTAAGACCCCAAATGCTCTGAAAAGGCATGAGCATGTTCACAGTAATGACCGTCCTCACAAGTGTTACTGTGGTCAAGCTTTTCTCCGCCTGTATAACCTGAGGAGACACATGAAGCATCTGCATGGCACTGATGCCCCTCTACCCCCTGTGAGGAGACTGAAAACTGTGGACATGCCTGAGGGGGAGGCTGGCAAGGGATCCTCCAAGGATTTTGATGAGAGATCTTTTAATGCCAAGATAGCTGCTGATAGATCCCTGGCTGAGCAAGCGATGGCCAGTATTCCTGTGAGGGGTCAGGTGGGTGACCCACAGTTCACAATGCTGGGGGTCATTGTACCAAACTCTGAGTCCAGTACTGCTACATATGTTCCTAATGGCTCAGGGACACTGCTCTCTGTGCAGCCTGCCATTCAGCAACAGCAACCACAACAGCAGCAGCAACATCTCCCTCAACAGCAGCAAACACAGCCACCACATGGGATCCAGGTTCACAAGGTGATACCTACTGCTGCATCCCACACAGAGAAACAAGAACAGTCTTTTGTGGAACCAACAGTTAGCCTGTCCCAACAGCAAGGACACATAGTGGAGCACATCCCTATATCAACGGGCAGTGTTCCATCTGTGCAGGAGACTTATCCCACTATTAACCTCCAGCATCTCCACCCACAACACGTGGTGTACCAGCCGTATCCTCCCCCTCCACACCAGCAGGCTATCTCACAAGATGGCCACCCTGTGGTGCACCAGTTCTCAGAGCAGCAGGTGCCCCAGGAACGTGTGGACTACTCTCCAGAGGTGTATGCTGCCATGACAAGTCTGGTCCACTTCATGCACAATGCTCAGTAATGAGGGACTGGTCAGGGATACGAGTTCTTGGAAGACCTGGTTTGCTGTGAGAGTTTTGCATGTGAATTAGTGTATAGTTAGTGAAAAGTTTTGTCTTCATGACCAAACAAGAATACCAATGACCTTGTATATCAATTACGCCTTCATGACAATAACAAGAAACAAGAATGCCAATAGCCTAGTATATCAGTTATATCAGTATTTTTTCCTTATTGAATAGGATATTCGTTGGTACAATTTTTCATTGGAGCAACAGTTATGTTGTCATCATTTGTTAGATAAGTGAATATATTTATACTTTTATTTTAAGCACTTGTGTATTATACCTCACTTTGTTTGAGTGTTTTTCTCATGTAGAATGTTTTAGCTGTTAAAGTATGGATTTACTACTGATGTGAACAAATGAAGAATAAGCATAAACATTGTCTTGTAGGGTCCTTTTATTTGGATACTCTTATTTATTTATTTATTTATTTATTTATTTATTTATTTTTTCATCAAAAAGTGATAATCTTGTGTCTAGCTTTTTAAGTACAACTATTTAATTAATGATATTATCGTTATGTTATAATAATTTTATGTATAATCTACTTGATGTAGGTAATGGAATGTTCATGCAGATGTATTTAATTAGTGAAAAATCTTTTGGATGAAGGATATTTCACACATTTGGAATGTGGTGTTTGTGTTAATTTTCATATTTGAAGTTTTCAAATGTTGCATGTGTTTAAAGGTGTATCTTATAATGACAGACTAGATTATAAAAAAGATAGATAGGTAAATATAGTTTTTTATGAAAGGTTTCAGAATGTACATGGGATTTCATGTTTTCTGGTTTTTCAGTCTAGTATTTTTAGTGTTTTATGTGGCTAAGGGTATGGGAAGGGCTGCTTTTAGAAAAATCACAGATATTTTTGTTAAAGCTATACCTAGTTGATATGATAGATATTAACTGCCCGTTTTAAGTATAAAATAGATGTTTATTACATGCAGCATGTAATTAGCTTTTGAATGATGGTGGACTACCTACCTGTTGGATTGTCATTTTTTTTCTTTTTTCACCATGTTCTATGATATGGATAGGTCCAAACAGATCATTTCATATGATAAAAATATCTCACTAGGACAGGAATCAGATCACTGTGATGCCCATTGAAATGAGTGCCATAAAATAAGGATATGATTTCAATACTCATGATTAAAAAACTGTCCTGTATATTTAACAATTATCTCATTTATCTGTGTTTGAAACCTTGTGTAAAGTAGCATGTCCTAATAAAGCTTCCATTATTAAGTTAAGTATCATTTAAAACAAAGAAATGAATTCTGGGGAGCAAAGCTGTTTTAACAATAAAATAGTGGATATAGGGTTTTTTTTTTTGTTTAGAAGACATTGTTTTGCATCCACTTATTTTTCTGTGGTGCAAATAAATTGCCCAGCTTATGGGTCCTTTGGTTCTTGGTGATGGGAAAGAGTTACGCAGTTCTATTGTAAAATGGATTTTTTTATGCAGAAAAAAAGTAAGAGCAGGTTTTGACAATTTATTTGCTGCCATTTGTAGAATTTCTGTTATTTACACATACAATAAAGTAATCACGGTGGTGACTTTAATGGTTATTACATATTGGCAGGCTTTAGATTACTGTTCCATTTATTTATCTATACCAACCTCTGAAAGTATGACTCAATCATTGGAGCACAGCAAAATGTTCAACAGTGAGCACCAATAACAAAAGCTGTGCAGACATTCCTTTCTCTGACACTACAAACATTTTCAAAATTTCAAGTTTACACAAGTCTTGCATGTTCACTGCACATTAGAACACATCTACACTTTAAAAACCAAATCTTAAATCCTCATATCATTCAACCATTTAAAAATGACAAAATTTCTTGTACACCACCAGTCTCGGATATCTTCAACCGAAATTATACAATATCCCTCATAACTCGCCATAGTAACTAATTATTTATGGGTAATGATCAAACAAAAGTATGTTTTCAAGGCCATACTGTTTGAGTACAAAAGTAACTATAATTCCACTGCATTGGAAGTTACATCTAGGAAGGAACTATGTATGACTTCTCACTAAAACAGATTTGAAAAAATATTTTAATATTAAAATGTAAACGGCAAACAGGTCAAAATTATGTAAAAAATTATATGTATATATAAATAAGTCGGCATAATGGTTTGAAGTGGAAAATAAAAAAAAGGAATTTAAAAATGTTTAAATGTACACACATACAAAACCAATTTCACTGAACTATACAAACAGTTCTTGTGGTACAAATATTCAAACATTTCATGGGTGTCACTACAGCATTGTAAGTACCATTTATTGGGGAAAAATATAAACAGGAATGGTATAAAGTAATCTGACGTCTTGGCTACCATTTCCCTGAGATCTACACTGTACAACATCTACTGTTTATCTGCTATCCATTATGAAGAATTTACAGTTGCTGCCTCAAGAAAGACTAACATCATTAATACACTTATACCTGACTTACATATACTTTTATAGCATTAAATGTTTAAAGTGCAGACCACCTGGGAAGTCAAACAGCACCAATATTTTAGTCATAATATGGAACTTTAAATTTAGATATTGTTGCCTTTAAAGTGTCTCTCTCTTAGGTGTGTGAAATATTAATCTTTCTCACTTTTTATAGATATCTGAATCCTAAGTAAACCAATTATATTCTTCAGAGATGCAATGTTATAACACGAGATTAAGAAGAAAAAGCAAAACCACTTTAGAAAGCAAAATTGTTTATAAAACATTACAGCAAATCAAACCAATAAAAATATCTCAAGTAAGAAATTATTTAAGAATTTAAAGCCATATATCTATTTTCTGTTCTAGTAGAAAAATATGCATTCATAAAAAATTAATTGATATGAGATTATATATATTGAATTAAAAGGTGTAGTCAAATACCCAACCTGGAACTCTCTGAACACATCTTTTAGTGATTGTCTTCCTTATCACATGCTTCATTTCTCTTCCTATTTCAAATTAAAATCATATTTGTATGGTGCATCCCTTGCAATAATCTTCTAACTGGTCTCAAATTGCTGGTGAGGGCTGTCAAATGTGTACGCAGATAACTCTGCTAACTGACCACTTAGTGTTTCAATGCAGCGGCATTTGGAAGACAGAACTGACTTCAACTCCTTCACATAAGTTGGGAATGTCTAAAAATGAAAATAAAATGACCTAATTTCTATTTAAATTGGACTGGGTTTCAAATATCTTTTAAGACCCAAAACGTTTTGGATCTAACATTTTTGTAACAGCATCTTAATCTAGGTAACTGTTATGTTTAAAATTTCATTTGAAAATGAAATACCATGATTTTCCTTACCAGATCCCCATTCTTGATGCTCCTCAGAAGCCTCATTTCTTCCTTACACAGTGCTGTCATCTCTGCCAGTTGTTCTTCATGGGATGTGATCAAAAGATTTCTGAAAAATAAGTTATATTCCTACTCAACAGAACTTAACCACACATCTCTCTTTCCCATATATTTTCAAAGGATTATATAAGGTACATATCAGCGTTGTACAGTTCTAAAATTTTGCTAAATTCCTTACTGAAAGGAAATACTAACACATTGATGCTCAGTGATCATAATATTGTTCCTTAAGTTCAGTCAGATCTTGCAATCATTTAATATATCACACAGCTTGATTCAATGACAGGGCCAATTGGTGCATGTACTTCTGTTTTGATCACACTAACCAAATGTCAAAAGGCAAAGAAAAAAAACAACAATATATTAATAAATACTTACTGTGCCTTCTCTTGAGCAGAGTCTCCCCTGGTTAAAACAAGGCCATCCTTATCCATACTGCTCCCCCTGTCACTGTCCCCTCCACCATTGGGGGTGCCCTTCAACAACCTGCCATTGCTGATGTTGTCATCTGCTATGATAGTCTTGGTAATCACTGTGGGAACAGTAACTAGTTTGGTGGGGGCCAAAGACGGGCTGGGGTGGATGGGGGAAAATGTGGTCCCTGGGATCCCACTGACCTCCAACCTCTCAATACGCACAGGGGTGTTCACAGATGCTGTGTGGGCACTGCTGCTCTTGTTGACAGTCACAAACTGGGGTGGTGGTGGTAGTTTCAGGAAGTCACTGTGACTTTCACTGGAATGTTGAGAAGATTGGCTGCCATTTGTGGCATTACTATCAAGTCTTCTAGATGGTGTTGCTGAACTGTCCAATCCACTGCTGCTCAAACAAGAGGAGGAACTTAGAGTGGTTTTACTAGAATCGGTGAAACTATCATCAGTTGGGGCACCCTTTCTGTCTTGGTCATTTCCCAACATTCTTTCCTGTGCACTGCTGGCTTTGTCAGACTTTTGCAAGTCAGTAACAACATTACAGTCCTCTCCCACTGGTGATTTTTCTGATAGTGTTCTGGGGTCACCATTCGTTGAATTTTCATAGGTCACTGCCTCTTTGTCTTTCTCCTCTGTAAATGACAGTGCTTTGGTTATAAGTTCCTTGGGATCTGCATTTTTGACAGTGTTAAAGAGGTTCAAATGTTGGTCCTCAGCCCTATGAGATGTGTTACAGTCCTGGTCAACAGATGACAGGGTGGATTTGGCAGGTGCTTGGGACACCACAGCCTTGTTTGGTGCTGACTCTGTTTTCTGCCCTTCCTCCTCACAGTTTGCTAAGCCTCTACTGCCCTGCTGACTACTGGAAATGCCTGGTGAGATCTGTGTTAGCTTGTTGGGTGGCAAATGAGAGTAGGGCTGGAAAGCACCCAATCTCCGAGAGTTGGAAGGGGACACCAGCAGATCAGGGAAAGGTCTCAGATCATTACTTTTCCCAGGATTAGCACACATAACTTCAGATTGACCAACTCCTGGCATATTTCCCTTGTAGTCAGCACACTCACTAGAAGGTGGACTTCGTGGGGACATTTTATCACCTCCGGACTCTGAGTCACTGTCTTTTCCTTTCTGATTGGGTTCTCTTTGTGTCTTCTTTTGCAGTCTTATTTCAGCCAAAGACTTTAAGAAGTCATCTGGAGAGGGCAAACTTTGAATCTTCTGTGCTAGAGCACTCTTTGGATGCCACTCTCTGTGAGTACTTGAACTCTCTCTCTGACTGCTAGACATCACCTCAGCTGCTTGTTGACCCAAGACAGGCTCTTTTGGCTGCACTTTCCCTTCTACCTGGTTGGAACTCTTTGGTACAGATGTCAAAGCAAACACGGTCATATCTTTTGTAGTTGTCACATTTCTGGGCTTTGAAGAAATAGGTTCATTGGTCTCATCCTCCTTGAAGAGCTTCCTTTTGGCATCAAGGGGAGAGGACTTTATCATTTCTGTGTGGTCCTCACTTACTTTGGAATCATCTGAAACATTTGTAAATTTGGGTGCCTTTTCTCCTAAGTCATCAGCCGAAGTGGAGAGTTTCAACTTATATGTTGGAGAACCATGAGATCTTGATAAATGTAGGAAGTTGAAGTTCTTGTCTGGAAGGAGAGGTGAGAGTTTTGGTCTCCTGTTGTCTGGTGACTTGGGACTAGAAGTTGTGCTGGTGGACTGAGAGTGGTGCGGTGGGGAAGCTGGTATATGCTCATTATGATACCTGTGTAGATTTACCGGTGGGATAGGTTCATTGTATTTCCTCCACAGAACCATATTATTGGGCTCATGTGCAGGATGTCCATTAGAGATAGTCATCTGGTCCCATGCCTGCACAGGAAAATGTCTGTTATTCCCAACTCGATCATGATTTGCATGGTTATTTTCTTCTCGGTTTTGTGATTTGTCCAAGACAGCCTGAGCATGGGCCATAATGTTATCTAAATGCGTCACAATTTCTGACTGATGTCCTGCGCTTGAACTGGTTTGTGAGAAAGTCTGATTATCTTTTTCAAGTGCAAAACTTTGATAATATTCGTTAGTTTCTCCTGCTGTATGCTGGGTTTCATGAGCTGCCTCACTTTTCTGATATGTTTCTGGTTGCTGTCTACGGTAATGAATGTTCCTGTTGTTTTCCACAGTCTCATACAATAATGCTGACATTTTAACACCATTCCCATCATTCCTTTCATTCTGTGAGTTCTTTCTTTCCCCAGACTCAGATGAGGGTTCTCTAACCACACGTAGAGGAATCCTGTCCTTGCTGTGCTTATTTCTCTGAGAACTGGTACTGCTTGACTCACCGTTAGTTTTCAGTTCTGCTGTCTTCCTCTTTATCTTGTGCCCTCTGATGGGAGTTTCATACATGGACCCTTGAAATGGCTGCTTCTTTTGAGAATCATGTTTACTCTTCAGTGGTGTTGACTTCTTTGGTGTGGAAGACAGTGGAATGCTACTTGGATGGAACACAGAGGGAGTTGTTGATGATGAGTTTTTGGAGTTACAGTTACGACTGGGAGATTGTGACTTTGACCTTAAGTCTGCCATAGTTTTCTCAACATTGTCAAGTCTGTCTCCTGAGCCTGATCTTTTTAATTCCTTCACTCTAAAGAAGACAATAAAAAGATAATTAATGAGAGGAATGAAATAATTTCAAAAGATTGAAAAATAAACCAAAATTATCTGTTGCTATCATTTTCTGAAATCTCTTTTCTCTCATCTTTTATTTTCTTTCTTTTCAAAAATCATTTCTAACCAGTACTCATAAGTTTCTGCACTTCATTAATGCATGTAACAATGGCACCAAATCTGCAATGCTAGTTTACACAAACATAAATACATCTGACTTTATGCTCTAAATACAATTCTTTTGTTCCATAATTCATGCATCATAGAAATCTACAGGATAAAATACAGGAAAGTGAAACCTTGTTTTTTTTTCTGACACCCATCCACAAGTCAATAATAATTTCATAAAAGTACACAAAATGAAACAACCTATACATTAGTTGCAACCAGAAACTATATATTTTCTTTGTTTTGCATCTTTACCTATCAGCATATCTCAGTGTGTTCAGTGTGTGATCACAGGCAGATTGTCCTGGAGAGATGTTTGCAATCATGCAGGTTTTAGAATTGCCCACAAATGAATCTTTGAGGATATGAGTGAGCTTGCTCTGCCTGAATGGTGTGTGTTTGGTGGCCTGGTCAATAGAGCGGATGCATTCTTTCAGCTGCAAGGAATACGGATTAAATATCAATGGTTATGAACATGATGATGGTGCAAATTGGCACTGAACAAAGACAAGTTTTAATTAGAATATATTTTATTCAAATGCTGTACATCAAGGCATCCTTTTATCAAAACCAATTTAAAAAAAGAAAGGATGTCTAAACCAAACACAATAGTATAGAAACCCTGATGTTCATAACAGTAAGATAGATTTAAAAAAAAAGGCAAATTTATTGAATATGTAAATTATAGTTTTGTTTTAACACTGGTATCTTATCATGGAGACTGCGGGTGTACAGTACACTTACAGCTAAGAGACTCTGATTGATTTCTGCTCCTTCCAGTCTGTTTTGTTTGTTACTAAAATCTGTTACTTCGCACAGTCTCTCGCTACCAGCCAGGTCAATGAAAGACATCCTGGAAATAAGTGCACACAAAAAAATTTACTTTTAATATTTTATGATAAACAAATGGTTTTATTTCATAGTATGAACAGTTGCAGTGAAGTGTTTATATAGCTTAATTGAATATAACAATACATTTGTGCCATACTTTTCCAACAAAACTATTGAAATGATATCATGTCAACTCAACCCCATGCATTAATTTTCAATTTTCAGATTTTCCTTAAATGATAATAATAATACTTAAAGTATAAAATCAATAAAATGCTCAGTAGAATTCCCAGTATAATATGTAAGTAATTGTAATTAAAATTATATTGATAATTTTTAAAAAATGCTTAGATTTAACTATTAAATCATTATATTTTTAGGTATTTTTTTAAATAAAATGTTAAAATACTTTTAGATTTAAATCAATTTTTTAATTCTGTAAAAGGCAAGTCCTGATTTCCTTTTTTAAAATAATTCAGTACAATATACTACAATATGTCACATTGGTTAACATCCAAAATATAGCATGCATGCAGCCAACAAATGTACTTACATCTTCCCATTTTAGAAATTCAGATATAATTTTTGCAGATTCAGTTTAATAGCAAAATGCCAATTGAATAACTAAACAGATTAGAAGCCCTATATCAGTCCATACTTCATCCCAGGGAGTTTCTGGCTTGCACACAAGCCAACTAAAGCCATTTAAATTCCACATGAGACTTTCAACATGGAAAAGTAGGAAATACAAATCCATTATTGGCAAATGACTGTCAATGAATGTGGAGGCCAAGCAATAGCCCTGCAGCAGTACAACTACAACATGGAAAAGGATATTGCTGTTACAAAAACAGACAACTTTTGAAAGGACCTGCCAATATCCCTGACATGAAGAAAAGACAAGGTCTTAGCAACAGTACCAGTACCTAAATAGTGCATTTCATAGGAAATTCACTTGCACCCCCCCCCCCCCCCAACCACCGCCTCAAAACTTTCCTAATTCAAAAACATGAGAGGTTTTAAAGTACCAAACTATTAGGTATGCAGTTTAGGAAATTGCATTTATTCAAAGCAAAGCCAATTTTCTAACAGTCACAGTGCATCTGTTTCTGTCTTTCTTAGCAGTTAAATTAAACTACCAGCAGAATTGACTGCGTGTTGTAGTACCCAAGCCAAGATCAATATAAAGTTTTCAAAACAGAGGGTTGTCTGAATTGTGGCCAGCAGTATATAACCACTACTTAAAGCTATACTTATCAACTTCTCATTCAATATTTTATCCTACCAAAGGCCCTTTTCAAATCTTCAAATTACAAATATTTTTTAAATCATAATAATCATGACAATAATAATGATAATAATAACAACAGTACTGGTAGTGAATAAATAGGTTAAGAATACAGAGAAATAGAATACCTTCACTCATCCTTGAAAATGTTTCCTACATCCTTCTGAACTTAGAACTATTCAGACTACTTCTTTTATTTTTTGTCAAAAGAGCTCTAGACTCAAAAGTGCATCTGACCTTTACCGATCTTCTACAGTGCCATACACCTACATGTTTTCATATTTCATGTTGCCCCATGCACTAACCAAAGTTCAAAAGAAAAAAGGCTCTAACATGTGAGTGTTTTTTAAAGAAAATTTGTTTTCAATAATATCATGAAATTAGAGGTAAACTAGGAACACTTAAACAGGCTTTAGGCTTCAGAAGCAATTTACAATGAAAAAATAAGCATAATTATGACTGTGACTGTTATGGAAAACCACATTACAAGGAATACTAGATTATGACTAAAGTACATACTGTATGCAAGTTCTTTCTTTATTTAAGAGACCTATTTTCTGTAAAAAAGTGTCATATACAGGAAAATGGTAATTGTAAAAAGGGAAGAGGCAGGCATGCAAAACAAACATACAATCCTCAACAGTTAAAAAACTGCATGGCTTTAAAGAAAAAGCACATTTAATAATTGCTGTTTGAGAAATGTTTTAAAATCAACATGATGCTGTGCACTTACTTTCCCAGTCTCCTTTCATGTTGGTCCCGGACCTCTAGCTGAAGAATGGCGTGTGAACGAGAAGAATCAGGGTTGACACTTGTTGTCCCAGTGCTACGCAAACTGTTACCTGCTTCAATTACCTGACAATGACAATAATGAGAATAACATGAAGGGATGGCTTTACTGGTGACAGAAATGTTGATAATACAATCTCACAATATATATATGCCAATATTAACTACGTCAACATGCAACATGTGTTGCTCTTACTGCCAAAATTATCTATTCACACAGCAAATAAAATAAAAGCAATGGGAACAGTGTTATAGAATCAGACAGAAATCACAACCCTACATCAGACTCAGATTTAGGTCAAACAATATAATGTAATGCAGATTCCCAACTACTTCCAGATCCAAGTTATGAGAAGCTTGTCCAACCTGCTATATGTAAATATGTCTCAGGCTCACCTGTATACATAATGTAGGTTACATGAGGAGTGAACTATAAACCATATCTGCAGCAATAGACACTAAAACTCCTGAGTGACTTTGCTGAAATTCCCTAGAGCTCTAAAAGGTCACCACTACTCTGTTTAACTTTTTTTTTTTACCAATCAGCTCACACTTTTGCTCAATAAATCTAACAAGTAACAATCTAGGTCAAAGCCTGGAGACAGGGAGCAATAAAACCCCAGAAATTTCACGCCTCAGTTAATTCAGTTTACAGTTCAAACTGAGAAGGAATTTTGATGGATGAAACTGAAAGAGAAAAGCGTAATCTGATCAATGGAATCAGAAATGGTCACTTGCATGATTGTTAATACACGGCACTTCAATATTTTGACAGGGTTATATTTTGCACTGCAGTTATGCCACCACTCAGGTAGAGAGCATTGTAAGAGCATGTGTTATTGGCTTGGTTTTGTTAAGCTTTGCTCTGGAGGCAGTGAGGCAGGTGCTTGGCTCAAAAACATGTTGCTATTGCTGTATGCAAACATGTTTTGGGGGCCACTGGGCATCAATGACTGCTGAGTCAACTCTGACCTCGTCAGACAATGTGTTAAAAACCTGCCAGCAAAATATCACTATGCAACATAGAAAATGACTTTTGAAGTGGTATTAATTTGTAGTAGGGAAAATATTAAGATATATTAATTCCTATGGTATAGGTTATGTCATAATGTTGTGCTGTAACTTGGAATGCATGAACAACTTACAATATTGCCAAGATCCTGCCATATATTTAAATCAGATTTAACTCGATGTTTCTCTTTATAAGTATCAAACCTTCCAATTTCTTAATTGCTTAAGTATATGTAAGTGTTTTCCCTTTCCTTATTTTTCCCTTAATTATTTCTTTTTTTATTTTGTATGTGAGTTTCTTATTCCTTATTCTGCCATCTGAATTAAAGTCAATTAATGTACATTTTTACTATATAATTCATCAGAAGTAGTCTTGGCAACACTCAGTAACCACCTGCATGAGTACCATAATATTAACATCAAATGATATGTGTGACGCTGATTACAAACTAGTGGAGTAGAACATGAGGACTTTAAGAGTGCAGTTCAATAATCAACCATCTGCTCCACTCAAACTCTGTAAATAATGTGAAATTCAGATAAGCAGTAAAGATGGATAAAAATAAAATCTGATCAAAACTCATCTGCCCTGTTCTCTGTTCATGCTTGCATGGTGTCACTTAATTAACTTTTGATACTTAAACATGTACCTCAAACTGTAATTTTTTGCCATCTGAGAAAGAAATAACAAGCCCATATGCCTCTCTCTGGATGGTACATTGTCAATTAACATGCATTACTCCATGTGTGCCTGTGCTGTTTTATGTTATTCTGTTTTATAACGCATACTACTGCACACTTTGCAGCATAGTACAATGCATGTTGTAAAAACTGTATGCCCAATGATCAAGAAAACCCCTGGAATTATCCATTGATTTTATGAAGAAAAGGGCATCAATAGAGAAAACATCCAATTTTTTCCCATGCCTAGGGGTCATTATTGGCCTTTTATTGGACATAACTGTCTCAAGCTGTGCACAGTCCAGAAATGGTCATTCCTTTTCCAACAATAACACTGAGACTATTATTTTTATAGTGACATCCAAGACAAGTAAAACCCAAGAATAATGAGGGAATAATCATGTGATAAACAGTTTATTGATATAACTTTATTCAACAGTTTATCTTCACTGCACATAATTATATACTTGTACTTCTCCCTTTAAATGTACTGCATAGTCTTATATTTTGCATTTATGCCCTGGAGTGATACCTATCATGACTCACATATAATACATGTAAAACACCTTTTCACAAAGATTAACAGGGGCAGATCCAGGATTATTTGAAGAGGGTCCAGGAATGCCAAGTCCACCCTCACCCCCCCCTTGGCATGGACCCCTGAAATTTTTTGGCATTTTAGAGGGCAAACAGTGCCATTTGGTAAGGTTTAGAACTATGATTCAGCTAGTCGAAATTCTCATCTCAAGAGGGAACCATTGGTGTGTGTGTGTGTGTGTGTGTGTGTTTTTTTTTTTTTTTTTTTTCAGAAATCGAAGAGGGGGGACCTCCCTGACATCCCCCTTAATCCACCACTCATATATATATATATATATATATATATATATATATATATATATATATATATATATATATATATATATATATATACATACCATGAGAACTATTAGCACTGCATAATTTGCATGTAAAAACATTTTTAAAAAATCTTAAAAGCTTCAAAGAAAAAAATTATTTGTGCTGCATTTGGGTGGCAAAATACATGTAATAGATTTTTATTCTTCTTTTACTTTTGCCATTATCACCTTTGAAATCATAGAAAGTTGCATGTGCACAGTTAATTACATCTTTCTCATAGCAGGTTGCTACATTCTACATCAAAACATCCACAAATTAATAAACAGCTGCACTGCTGCTACATAAATACTTTGTTGTCACACTGAATCTACACTGAGCAGCCACGTGTTGTTTGCTTCATTGTCTGTTTGATAACAAAACAATTCAAACATTTCTGGTGCTGACAAATGATGATGGGACTGCATATTCCAAAGCAATATACAAGTATTCAACAACTTACCACTGACTTACTACCAGTATATGTACATCTCTCTCTTGTTACAGTTCTCAATGAAACGGCTATAACAATGGAGCCCCTGTCCTTTCAAGCAGTTAGTACGGCCACATCAGTTGGATAATATGTGGGCACTCTGATAAGTTAACATGAGACTGATTCTACTGCTGGTAAGCACATGTACCTGAAGAAACCCTTACATTCACAACAACGCTAGATCCTGATATAGCACAGCTCCCTCTCTCAGTGATGGGCGCACAACAGTATCATTAGAAGGCACTCTTCTTTCAATGCGGTTCATCTTTAGAAGAATGACTCATGAAGGATTCATTTTATGTGGGCTAAAGTGGGTGGCGAATAATCGGGGGTCTTATTATTTGTCACAGTTCTGATAGTTCTGTGATTTTAATAGTGGAGATAACATCATGACTATGGGTAGATTGTTTCAGTTTCACCTGCCAGTGATTTCATATCACAGGTTTATTATGCTTACACTTATGCTACCTATCCTCCCTTTTCAAACCAAATGGTGATAAAATGAGGGTGGAGTTGCATGATTTTTTATAGTTTACTTTAACTGAAACTTCCTTCTAGGATCACTTATATAAGGCAAAACTACATGTATCTTACCCAGGTAATAGGAAGCAAAGGAGAATTGGTGGTTGGTGTGTATTTTACCAGGTGTCCATACTTTGCTTAAAAATATTCATAAAATGCCTCTTATAGTTGGCAACACAGTACTTTCATATCTTACTATGAATAACACTGCCACATATACACACACTCATGCACACACAAACATGAAAAAATACCTCAGTATATTTCAAAAAGAAATATCTTCACAAATAAGCAAAGTTGATTATCTATATATAACTCAGAACTTTATTACATTAACATTTATCACTTAACTGTTGTGGTTACCTGCATGCCACTATATAAGCTTTAAGTCAACTGTTAACTCAAAAAATTAATTTTTTTCATCTCTAAATGAAATCCTGTGTGGCAATAAATCACCACAAGAAAATGCTACTCACATTGCTTGTATGGAGCTTTGATTATCTAGTCATCGCATCCTGTATCTTAATGACACCGTTATGATTTTTACCTTTTCCCAAGTATAAATTTATCATTCAGACCACAACAAGAAATGAATCACACCTCTAAAATATTATCTTGAAAGTATAAAAGAGCAGTGCTTGTCATATATAAAACTCACACAACATTCAGTTACTTTTACTAAATTTTATAAAATAGAAAAAAAAAGAGATATAGATTATGGTACAGACACAGAATCAGGTTTCATATCATACGATCAAATGACCTATCCTTTGTGATAGTGATGGCTAGCGTGACATTGAAGAAATTGCTAGTGACCACTTCACCAACAATTTAAGTGACATGAATTTCTTTGTGCAAAAGCAATGCACCAGTATTCATAGACTTCACATGCGTCAGTTCCTGGTTTATTGCATAAAACTCCTTGACAAAATTGACATTGGCTAATCATGCAATGCTTTTATAGTGGGGATGCCAAAAGCTAAACCAACTACTACTATATAGCTTCTTTGATGCCTGGCACTGTCTAATCTTCCAATGCTGTCTACCTCTTTTACTGATAAATGTGTGTTCCTGTAGTTACAAGTATGTATAATACATAATTACACGTACAACTTGCCCACCCTTATAACAAAAATGTCTACATGCACTATTTCATCATCACTAATCAGTGAACACACAAATTAAAAGAATAAATTAATAATAACACTTGTTTTTCATGTAATTAAAATGCATTTATCTATTTTTCTATGAAATACAACAGTTTGTGTTTCCTGCATACTTGGCACTGACATTTAACAATGAGCATCTTAGGTTATGTTAAAGACAGCAATGTTTACAGTCAGGAAATATGCTGAAAATATGCTAAAGAAATGAACCTAAAAACCGAATACCAACAGGTGCTATTAGCCTTAGTTTGGCCAAAAATATGAATATTTAAAGAGAAATACATCTATAAGATGTCAAGATCAAAATGAATCTGTGAATAGTGATCATATTAATTAAAAAAAGGATAATTGCAATATATTTTTGCAGATCAATGGCTCATTATCATTCATTCTTTAGAGTTACTCAGTATCAGCCAAGACTCTTGCAAACAGATGGTGGAGAAAAAAAGATCTCAAAAGCAATATAGTAAAAAGCATTGAAGCATGCGCTTGATAGGAAGTCGGTCCACAGCTTCAGTTGTACAGCACCTGCAGGGCCATCCCAGAGAGAGCTTTTTAAACTCCTGTCACTGGAAACCTGCTAATAACCAGGAGCGGAAATTAATTTTGTAATAGCCACTAGTTACCTGAGCCTTTTGATATCACCAGTGGCTGAGATTGCTTTCATAAATGAATGCAAATGCCTCTTTAATCTAAATCATCTATTTGCTGATGGCTAGTTAGATACCTAAACATGTAAAAAAACTCATTCTTTTATCTGCATTCATCATTTATCAAATGGATTTGGAACACAAGACTCAGCATTCCAATGGCATAGAGCAGTCTAAACATTTTGAAATATAAAACATGTTCCTAGTGGAGGAGAAATAGGTGAAGTAAAAAAAAAAAAAAAAAAAAAAAAGCCAATGACTTTTAAAATGTGCTTGCCATGTTTCATCAGACAAAATAATAAGGTATATTCAATTAACTGCATACATATTTTAATGCAATGACTGTTGCAAAATTGCCAAAAGATGAAGTTTGGATACATTTTCAACATTTAAAAAATCACAAGCCATCCCACCAGTCCTAATTTAGTAAATACTAGAATACTACCGACGGAGATGTAGTCTAAAATGTTGCAGCATGGAAAACTGCCATAAAAATATCAAGGTCCAGACATAAAAGGATGCAGGCTTATCTGAAATGTAAATTTATACATGAATTGATGTTTGCAGGATTATTAGGGACTAAACTATCTGGCAATTAGAATAAATAAATAGCAATTACATACTGGCACTAAGGAATAAACCACTGCCATTTTTTAAACTTTAATCTTTTGCTGACACTAACAATCATGAGTCGAATAATTCAATTTTTTTCAGCACATGGTCTGTAAATGCGAAATAACTAAGTGCATCTCTAACAAGTGATGAATTCTTTGATAGCATTAAAATAATCTTTGTTGTCCCTCACACTCACTCTTATCCCTATCCCTTGGCTTATAGACTAGATAGTTATATATCATTGTTATCTTTGTGTAGAGATGGGTGTCACATCACATCACATAAGTCTAGTTCAAAACTGGTTCCGCTGTATGAGAAAATGGTTTTACTGACCCTGTATATAGTTATATTGAAGAATATTCATGAAAATTAGATCCCTAGCTTTTGGAAATGACAGTTTTGTCTAAAGATTCCCTAAGGAATGGATCTAATTTTCATGAATATTTTTTGAGCACAAAGCAATTAATATATCTGAAATCTATTATAAGTTTTAAAAGAATGCTGTGATCCCTTTAGGATGAAAACCTAAATTTACCTGCAAATGTGTACTACAGTTCCATCAGTGTTACAATTGTATGCATGTGAGTACTGCATTGGCAACTGCTGGGAAATGGGACATCAACTAGCCATCAGAATGATAGACCATAGAAACTCTAGCTCAGACCAATGACAACTATCCAAGTACATAGCAGAGACTCTAATGATAACATCACAAACCTGTCACTAGGAGCAGAAAACAACATGTGGAAAAGAAAATAGAAATAATGTTAGGCTTAACTGAGACCCAATATGAATAACGAGTGACTGACTCTAGTTTCATTCTGGAACCAACCCAGGGTCAGTTTCATCCAGAGGGTGCATCACACCAGCATGATGTAGCCTAACCTGAAGCACACTTTCCGGCAGACCTTTAGAGGCAAACTCAGGCTTTTGCTCTTAGAGGGACCACTTATAATTAGGATCTAGTTTAAATCAGAAATAGTCTAAATGATGACACCAAGTAATTTTAAATTAAAAAAAAAAAATTCACGTAATTTAAGATTTACTAGTATTCTTCTAAGCTGGTATAAATCTACCATTGTAGATTCTAGCCAAATGCCAATGTCTTCTATTTTGCTCAATATCAAATTATTAAAATATTTATAGCCAACTTTCTCATAAACCTGGTTCAAAATTTTGAAATAATATTTGTTCTTAAAATATTTACATGAGTAAAAATTTGATTCAGCTATATTTCTTGCACAAAATGTATCCAAGAGTGAGCCTAGCTAGGATATGATGGGCAGCCATACACAATTTAAGCCTTTACTAGCAGCACCGAGAATTAATTACAGCTTTGGAAGTAACTGGCTCGCGCTGCCCGTAATTACGCCGTGGGGTATTCAGGGCACAGACCTTGATCACAAGATACCGCAAATAGATTTTTAGATTTTTAGAAAATAGATTTTTCATGTGAACGGTCCCTTAGACCATTTCCTGGTTTAAGTTGGACCTGTTATGAATGCACACATGCTATCTTCTTTGTGTGACTTAAGGGCACATGCAGTATATTAACACCTGTTTGGTTGGGATTTGTTCTGTCATAATGGCACATCTCCCTTCAGATAGCATGCCCTATGGTCAAGGTGTGCTACTTGTGGAAACTTGTCAGGTACACGAGGCTCATAATTGAAACATGTGAAGTCTGAAATACTTATTCACTGGAGCTAATATTAAAAGTCTCTGCTCATATGACCATGCATGTGCGTGGACTATCATTTACTTAACAATTCTTATAAAATTAGGTAAATTAATAAAGTGTGATTTTTTCTTCAATATAGAAAAATGAAGGTATTTCAACAGCTTCAAAAAGGGAAAACTATATCTCTTTCCAAATATCATAAAATAACCTATGCTCTTCAGAAAGCACAATGTATTACTGTGATGTTGTATGCACAGAATATTTTACTACATCTTTGCAAAATACCTTTTACAGCTGCCAAAAACTGAGATATTTATAAATCCTTTCTTCTCTGTCCGTCCTACCTTGCTGGTGGATCTAACTAGACTGCCTCAAGCACACTTGATGACTCAATGCTGTCATCATAAGGGACTATTGAATCAAGGCAACCAAGCTGCTTAATGTGGGCTATATTAGCAGCCAGCCAACCCCTCCAGTGTGCTGCATTACTATTAGAGCTGTGGTGGGGAAGAGCAAGCTCTACAATCTAGCAATCAGTTTAGCGGTAGCCTAAATCAAAATTATTAGGCTACTGACTTTGCCATGTGGAAAGATAAAAGGGAGATAACCTGTAATAAAAGGCTACACAGATACTCTAAGCACAATCAATACTCAGTCCTCAAGAACTATCTCCTGTCTAACAGTAATATACGTACTCATACTAGTACATATGCACAGATCACAAGTATTTTCATGGATACATGGACCACTTGCATTTTTTTTTTGTTCTTCAAATATTGACATGAAGTAATCTGTATGTCCTTTGCATATCAAGATGTTGGTGATGTCACCACAATAAGACTGAACAGTATAAAAGCCAATGAGTCCAAATAAATTTTGGCAATCTCTTGACCATGATTTCTGACAATTTTTGTATATTAATTGGGCCTCAAAAATGTTAATTGCCGTTTGCTATTACAAGCCTTAGATTTGGGAGTCTGAATGCCAAAGTAAAAGACTCAGTAAAAGCTACAATTTTAGAGCATGAACATAAAATAAGTAGCCACGAGCACGGCGTAAAGAAGGCATGGTAGATTTGGGTGTCTGGCTGTACACATACAGCTTCCTTTCTTCAAACCAGGACCATGATTTTGAAGGGCAGAAAATATGACAAACAGTGCATTGCAACTTTCTGTGATTCAATAACTCACAAATACATGTATCTGTTTCCATGGATTTACTTTCTCATCAAAAAAATAAATGGAGAATAAATGCACAGAGAATAAATCAAAAATTAAACTGAAGTATAATCTACTATCCATACCACTTATTTATATGGGAGCAAAGCACTCCCAACAATCTCTGGCACATATAAACATACCAAACAGGTATGTAAGTGGATTTACTGTTCGTGTTTTGTAGCACAGTGATCTTGCCTGTTAATTTAACATTGCTGCTCACATATCTGGGGCTTGAGTTTGTAAATGGCTTATCCATTTAAAAGGCCTGTATATGCAAATACAATTGTGTATATTCTATCCAAGAACAGAGATGGATTTTCCTTTTAACCTGTTAAATCACATTATTTCCTTACCCCATGGGTCCTCAAAATGGACATTTTCCAGGTGAACTGATATGTGCCATGTCTACAATTTTACCAGTCTGACAGCCTCATTTCAAACACAATGAGTAGTATAAATCAAATACCAAGTACCATAGTCCTCTTTACACAACCCTCCGATAATGCCCAATTAGAACCTATGTAAATAGATAATGTTATATAATCCAAAAGCAAATCCAAATGAACATCTCATGTTCCGACTTAATCAAGTTTTATTGTCATTCTCTAGCTTAATCAGGGTATGTCAAAGGAATGCTGTAATGAAGTTGACCAGCCAGCTTATGAGCCCACTATGAATCATGTCCACTATCCATAAAGACCACCTACTAGTACTTATTTATAGGCTTCACTACATACCCTGCATAAAAAAAGGTCTAGATATATCCCTGTGACACTGTCATTTTCAAAAAGCAATAATTTGGTTCCACTATCATCTCATATGCTAATGTAAGGGTACCAGGCATAATAGGGTAACCACTGAACCTCAATAAAAACAAATGAAACTTCCAAGAGAACACTGGAAACAATCAGTTCTGGAGCATATACTCTNACAGACCTATTTTCTGTAAAAAAGTGTCATATACAGGAAAATGGTAATTGTAAAATAGGGGGAGGCAGGCATGCAAATGAACATACAATTCTCAACAGTTAAAAAAAAAACTGCATGGCTTTAAAAAAAAAGCACATTTAATAATTGCTGATTGAGAAATGTTTTAAAATCAACATGATGCTGTGCACTTACTTTCCCAGTCTCCTTTCATGTTGGTCCCGGACCTCTAGCTGAAGAATGGCGTGTGAACGAGAAGAATCAGGGTTGACACCTGTTGTCCCAGTGCTACGCAAACTGTTACCTGCTTCAATTACCTGACAATGACAATAATGAGAATAACATGAAGGGATGGCTTTACTGGTGACAGAAATGTTGATAATACAATCTAACAATATATGCCAATATTAACTACGTCAACATGCAACATGTGTTGCTCTTACTGCCAAAATTATCTATTCACACTGCAAATAAAATAAAAGCAAAGGGAACAGTGTTATAGAATCAGACAGAAATCACAACCCTACATCAGACTCAGATTTAGGTCAAACAATATAATGTAATGCAGATTCCCAACTACTACCAGATCCAAGTTATGAGAAGCTTGTCCAACCTGCTATATGTAAATATATGTCTCAGGCTCACCTGTATACATAATGTAGGTTACATGAGGAGTGAACTATAAACCATATCTGCAGCAATAGACACTAAAACTCCTGAGTGACTTTGCTGAAATTCCCCAGAGCTCTAAAAGGTAACCACTACTCTGTTTAACTTTTTTTTTTTACCAATCAGCTCACACTTTTGCTCAATAAATCTAACAAGTAACAATCTAGGTCAAAGCCTGGAGACAGGGAGCAATAAAACCCCAGAAATTTCACGCCTCAGTTAATTCAGTTTACAGTTCAAACTGAGAAGGAATTTTGATGGATGAAACTGAAAGAGAAAAGCGTAATCTGATCAATGGAATCAGAAATGGTCACTTGCATGATTGTTAATACACGGCACTTCAATATTTTGACAGGGTTATATTTTGAACTGCAGTTATGCCACCACTCAGGTAGAGAGCATTGTAAGAGCATGTGTTATTGGCTTGGTTTTGTTAAGCTTTGCTCTGGAGGCAGTGAGGCAGGTGCTTGGCTCAAAAACATGTTGCTATTGCTGTATGCAAACATGGTTTGGGGGCCACTGGGCATCAATGACTGCTGAGTCAACTCTGACCTCGTCAGACAATGTGTTAAAAACCTGCCAGCAAAATATCACTATGCAACATAGAAAATGACTTTTGAAGTGGTATTAATTTGTAGTAGGGAAAATATTAAGATATATTAATTCCTATGGTATAGGTTATGTCATAATGTTGTGCTGTAACTTGGAATGCATGAACAACTTACAATATTGCCAAGATCCTGCCATATATTTAAATCAGATTTAACTCAATGTTTCTCTTTATAAGTATCAAACCTTCCAATTTCTTAATTGCTTAAGTATATGTAAGTGTTTTCCCTTTCCTTATTTTTCCCTTAATTATTTCTTTTTTTATTTTGTATGTGAGTTTCTTATTCCTTATTCTGCCATCTGAATTAAAGTCAATTAATGTACATTTTTACTATATAATTCATCAGAAGTAGTCTTGGCAACACTCAGTAACCACCTGCATGAGTACCATAATATTAACATCAAATGATATGTGTGACGCTGATTACAAACTAGTGGAGTAGAACATGAGGACTTTAAAAGTGCAGTTCAATAATCAACCATCTGCTCCACTCAAACTCTGTAAATAATGTGAAATTCAGATAAGCAGTAAAGATGGATAAAAATAAAATCTGATCAAAACTCATCTGCCCTGTTCTCTGTTCATGCTTGCATGATGTCACTTAATTAACTTTTGATACTTAAACATGTACCTCATACTGTAATTTTTTGCCATCTGAGAAAGAAATAACAAGCCCATATGCCTCTCTCTGGATGGTACATTGTCAATTAACATGCATTACTCCATGTGTGCCTGTGCTGTTTTATGTTATTCTGTTTTATAACGCATACTACTGCACACTTTGCAGCATAGTACAATGCATGTTGTAAAAACTGTATGCCCAATGATCAAGAAAACCCCTGGAATTATCCATTGATTTTATGAAGAAAAGGGCATCAATAGAGAAAACATCCAATTTTTTTCCCATGCCTCGGGGTCATTATTGGCCTTTTATTGGACATTACTGTCTCAAGCTGTGCACAGTCCAGAAATGGTCATTCCTTTTCCAACAATAACACTGAAACTATTATTTTTATAGTGACATCCAAGACAAGTACCGGTAAAACTCAAGAATAATGAGGGAATAATCATGTGATAAACAGTTTATTGATATAACTTTATTCAACAGTTTATCTTCTCTGCACATAATTATATACTTGTACTTCTCCCTTTAAATGTACTGCATAGTCTTATATTTTGCATTTATGCCCTGGAGTGATACCTATCGTGACTCACATATAATACATGTAAAACAACTTTTCACAAAGATAAACAGGGGTGGATCCAAGAATATTTGAAGAGGGTCCAGGGATGCAAAGTTGACCCTCATAACCCCCCCCCCCCCCCCCCTTACACTTGGCATGGGATTTGGGGCCCCAAAAAAATTTTGATATTTTAGAGGGCAAACAGTGCCATTTGGTAAGGTTTAGAACTAAGATTCAGCAAGTCAAAATTCTCATTTCAAGAGGGAACCGTTGGTGTGTATGTGTGTGTGTGTTTTTTTCAGAAATCTAAGGGGAGGGGGTCAGGACCTCCCTGACACCCCCCTAAATCTGCCACTCATATATACCGGTACATATACCATGAAGACCATTAGCTCTGCATAATTTGTATGTAAAAAACATGTCAAAGAAAATCTAAAAAGTTTCAAAGAAAAAAATTATTTGTGCTGCATTTGGGTGGCAAAATATATTTTTATTCTTCTTTTACCTTTGCCATTGTCACCTTTGAAATCATAGAAAGTTGCATGTGCACAGTTAATTACATCTTTCTTACAGCAGGTTGCTTCATTCAACATCAAAACATCCACAAATTAATAAACAGCTGCACTGCTGCTACATAAATACTTTGTTGTCACACTGAATCTACACTGAGCAGCCGCGTGTTGTTTGCTTCATTGTCTGTTTGATAACAAAACAATTCAAACATTTCTGGTGTTGACAAATGATGATGGGACTGCATATTCCAAAGCAATATATATACAAGTATTCAACAACTTACCACAGACTTACTACCAGTATATGTACATCTCTCTCTTGTTACAGTTCTCAATGAAACGGCTACAACAATGGAGCCCCTGTCCTTTCAAGCAGTTAGTACGGCCACATCAGTTGGATAATATGTGGGCACTCTGATAAGTTAACATGAGACTGATTCTACTGCTGGTAAGCACATGTACCTGAAGAAACCCTTACATTCACAACAACGTTAGATCCTGATATAGCACAGCTCCCTCTCTCAGAGATGGGCACACAACAGTATCATTAGAAGGCACTCTTCTTTCAATGCGGTTCATCTTTAGAAGAATGACTCATGAAGGATTCATTTTATGTGGGCTAAAGTGGGTGGCGAATAATCGGGGGTCTTATTATTTGTCACAGTTCTGATAGTTCTGTGATTTTAATAGTGGAGATAACATCATGACTATGGGTAGATTGTTTCAGTTTCACCTGCCAGTGATTTCATATCACAGGTTTATTATGCTTACACTTATGCTACCTATCCTCCCTTTTCAAACCAAATGGTGATAAAATAAGGGTGGAGTTGCATGATTTTATATAGTTTCACTAATATAAGGCAAAACTACATGTATCTTACCCAGGTAATAGGAAGCAGAGGGGAATTGGTGGTTGGTGTGTATTTTACCAGGTGTCCATACTTTGCTTAAAAATATTCATAAATGCCTCTTATAGTTGGCAACACTGTACTTTCATATCTAACTATGAATAACACTGCCACATATACACACACACGCGCACACACACACATATGAAAAAAAAATCAATATATTTTAAAGAAAAATCTCTTCACAAATAAGCAAAGTTGATTATCTATATATAACTCAGAACTTTATTACATTAACATTTATCACTTAGCTGTTGTGGTTACCTTCATGCCACTATATAAGCTTTAAGTCAACTGTTAACTCAAAAAATTCATTTTCTTCATCTCTAAATGAAATCCTGTGTGGCAATAAATCACTGCAAGAAAATCCTACTCATATTGCTTGTATGAAGCTTTGATTATCTAGTCATCGCATCCTGTATCTTAATAACACCGTTATGATTTTTACCTTTTCCCAAGTATAAATTTATTATTCAGACCACAACAAGAAATGAATCACACCTCTAAAATTATGGTTATGATACTTTAAAATATTATCTTGAAAGTATAAATACCAGTGCTTGTCATACATAAAACTATCACAAAACATTCAATTACTTTTACTAAATTTTGTAAAAAAAAAAAAAAAAAAAAAATACACATACACATACAGATTATAGAACAGACACAGAATCAGGTTTCATATCATACGATCAAATGACCTATCCTTTGTGATAGTGATGGCTAGCGTGACATTGAAGAAATTGCTAGTGACCACTTCACCAACAATTTAAGTGACATGAATTTCTTTGTGCAAAAGCAATGTACCAGTATTCATAGACTTCACATGCGTCAGTTCCTGGTTTATTACATAAAACTCCTTGACAAAATTGACATTGGCTAATCATGCAATGCTTTTATAGTGGGGATGCCAAAAGCTAAACCAACTACTACTATAGCTTCTTTGATGCCTGGCACTGTCTAATCTTCCAATGCTGTTCACCTCTTTTACTGATAAATGTGTGTTCCTGTAGTTACAGACATGTATAATACATAGTTACACATACAACTAGCCCACCCTTATAACAAAAATGTCTACATGCACTATTTCATCATCACTAATAAGTGAACACACAAATTAAAAGAATAAATTAATAATAACACTTGTTTTTCATGTAAAATACATTTATCTATTTTTCTATGAAATACAACAGTTTGTGTTTCCTGCATACTTGGCACTGACATTTAACAATGAGCATCTTAGGTTATGTTCAAGACAACTATGTTTACAGTCAGGAAATATGCTGAAAATATGCTAAAGAAATGAACCTAAAAACCAAATACCAACAGGTGCTATTAGCCTTAGTTTGGCCAAAAATATGAATACTTAAAGAGAAATACATCTGTAAGATGTCAAGATCAAAATTAATCTGTGAATAGTGATCATATTAATTA